TATGGCATAGTAATCGATAGTCCATTTATGATAACAGAGTCGCATATGATATTTAACGCCATGTTTTTCAACGCTTCTTTGGAAACCCTCCACTATAATGCCTTCTTACATCGATGTAGCGCTGTTAGACCTCTAATATTCGAATATTAGAAGTACATCGTCCCTGCATATTACTGTTCGGTAATTCCTTGTCAAGCTCAGAGTCACTAAAAAATAAATAGAATGATAATAGTTAAAAATATATTTTATGGCTAACTAACGCGGGCAAAAGTCGCGAGCAAAAGCTAGTTTACCTTTAATACGGTTCATTGTTAATAATTAGATTAGTAAATTAGTAATTAAAATTAGTAATCCGAACAACATTTTCTAACGGACTAATATTATTACTAGACAAGTGGTAAAATTGAAAATTTTGTACAACCGACTTCAATAAAACTCAATTACAACATATGTCATGGTTGAAATAATTTCTATGACATTTGTGCACATGCCAAATGCCAAATGTAAGACATACATTATCGAAGAAAAAAATAATAGGTATTGGAAATCGGTCAACGATGGAAAAATAAGTGAACATACATAAACAATAAAATAAAAGAAAAAAACATACAGCGGAAAATAGAACTTCGTCCTTTTATGAAGTCTTAAAATCAACATCAGCTTTTACATAATTTTATATTTTGGCGAAATAAATTGCGGTCTATCACCTACCAATCAAAGTATGATCACAGAATAAATAATATTACGTATGATACCTATGTGCAATAGTATGTTATGTGGTATACCTGTTGATATTGCGTTACCCATCCTTTCGATTTACGAAGAAAATTGATTTTTTTTCGTTTTGTTGATGAATACGGTCGACTTTTTTTCCATTCTAAAAGGTATAAATTAATTTTATTTGAATGAATATAATACTCATCGTAAAAGCTGGCATTTGCCTTTGACAGATATAGATAGGTAGATACATATAAAAATAACAGCTCACTTCTATAAGGTATATGTAGTTAGGACCTACTAAATTTCTACACACACTATGCAATAAGCATAATAAAATTGCAAAGGAACACAAACAAATTGAATAATTATGTCACTTGTCGTCAAAGACATTTAAGTATGTAGTGTATTTAAGTGTGTATGTAGTAACCTGGATGACCGAGCTTTGCTCCGTATATTTTTATTTGGAAATCGTGTTTTTTGTAAATTATATTTAGATACAAATTACATACTGATTTAATATGAATAATATTTTTCAATCTTACCAACATAATAAAAAAAGAACTGGTTATTGAAATAAAAATCATGAGCTTTAATTTAATTTTTTGTGTTTTTAAAAAAATACTAAAAAAGGGGCTCGAAATATTAGATTTTCCACAAAAGAAAGTTGGGAACTTGAAAAAAAGTCGGGCCGAAGTCATTCGGATTCGAACCACGGATTCGGGACCGCCGATTTTTCGTTTGAGCTATAGTAATCTTCGAATCACTAGCAAAGTTTTATATGCAAACCGCAGATAGCCGATGTTCGAGCGATTCACAGAATACGCCCGAGCGTCGCTTACTGCTGCTATTGCAGTGTGCGTGAGAATTTGTTTATAATATTATGTTATATTTGTATCTGTCACGCCCGGAGGGAGGCAAAGCTAGCAGTATGAAACAGGTAGCATTTTTGATAATACCTACTCGCGTCGCGTATCTGCACTTCACAATCCTCTTAAAGTCCACTGCTGATAGATCACCTGCCCCATAGATTTACTCACAGGGGTGCTATTTGCCATAGTTGCCACGCTTGACAAGTTGTTTATTTTTAGTACATCCATCACATTTAGTACAGCCCATCTGATTTGTTTCGCTATGACGCCTCTTACGACACCCATGGGATGATATGGAGTAGTGAATATTATTAAACCGCCACTAAAAAGTCCACAGTTTGTATATAATATGTATAGATTGCAAATTATTAACATAAAATAAATAATATTACCTCTATTATTTAATTTATCTATAATCCTCCATTGGACATTACAGTAGGAAAGCGTCTCGCATATTGGACTTTGATCATAGAAATTTTGATTTAGATTTAGATGTTTATATCTGATAAAATAGGTAAATTTACAAATACAGCTATTTAATGGAGGTAATGGTTATATTCTTTGCGTTTTCCATAGTCTGGTCGATTCTAACGATACCTAAAGGTTTGATTGAATAGAGTAGTAAAATTCTGATGATGCTCTCAAACGGCTTTATTACGTACAACGCCTTAGTACTTTATTATTTCCATTTAAAATTTTCCCTAATTGTATACTTTTAAAATGTATCTGTTTATTAACATCTTACTTAAGGCTATTTATTAACAATACTGCGAATCGCTTTGGAAAAGTATTTTCAAATCTTATATTAACGTAACAATCTACAGAAGGTTCGCTTATAAGCCTGAATTTTGCCGAACAGGAATCGAACCCGAGGCTGCAGTTGTTGTGGCTTATGTCTAGACAACGATCTTGTTTCCATTGTGTTCTTTAGACCTAATTGATAACGCTCTACTTCGCTAAGAATGAGAATTTTAATGAAACTGGAAAATGGCCAAATGTGTTTATCGATTGGGGCACTTAACAAACGAGATTTTGGTAAGCTGTTAATCTAAATCAATTAAACTGCCTATGATAAATTATTCAATCAAGATGCTTTTTAACATAGATAAGATATAATATTTTTATATTTTTATTCATAAAGTTAATGGAATTGTGACACTAATTGTATTATTTGAATCTCCATATCCATTAGGTGTTGTCTAAATGTCTCTGGGTTGGCTAGTTCCTTAATCGGGTGTTGCCATAATGTAATCTGAAATAAGCAAATTGTTTCGTTTTAAAAACCTTTTGATATAACAAAAATTATAAAAATAAGCAGACGTCATGTTTTTGTTACTTGGTATATCAAACTATCCGTATTAATTGATGATCAAAAGTAAATATTTAAACCTCAAATTCCATTTATTTAACTGACTAACGGACTAACAGTCCTGATTATAGTAAAAACATTATGAAATATAGGTATTGTAACTTTATAGTTAAAATATTTATTACAGTTAATTAATAACTGACTGAAGCCTCAGATATTAATTGATTTTTTAATTTATCTCATATGATTAGTTGATACAAGGAAATTCAGTATTTTCTTTGTCTTTGCGGCCAGTAACTTCTCACCAATTCGTATAACAAACAATAAAAAAATATTATAATAAGTACAAAAAAAGCAATTCGTATCGTAAAACGCCATTCATTTTAAAGTTTTAAAGGCATACTAACAACCTACGCTATTCGATTAAAATATAAATCACACTATAGTTGACTTCATTCAAGCAACCGGAACAAGTGTAGAGATCGGCTCTTAAAAATCCAGTTATGTTGTACATAGACGTTTAAATTGCTCGGGCCGTCAGCTTAGCTAAACTGAGCACGAGTAAAGCAACAATAGTCGCGCTCGGCATGGAAAAAGTCGTGACCGAGTGGCGGCCGGGTCGGCAGGACGCTGCGGGCGTAAATAATGCCGACGTCCGATCTTAATTATCGTTTCATCGTTAGAGATGACCGACGGGCACACCGAAATCTGCGAGCTAGTTGCGACATCGCCCCACCTCAGGCCTTATGCCGTCATTATCAGAACGGTTAAATCGCCCACCGATAAATCGCTAGAACCACCTGCGAGTATCGTCGCCGTTTTGGCACTGGACTCTATAATTCTTTTGTTTCCCGTTCTATTGTTTTCATGGTGATGACTGGATATTTTTGCTTTATAATAGCTAGATAAATCTAGCAAAGAGATATGTCTTTGATGTAATAAAAGAATGTTAAGATAAAAACATTGTCCCGTTGTTTTAAATCACGAAGTTATTTTTGTTATGTAGGTTTCTAGATAGCAAATTTTTTTTTCGATTCTGTTATTTCGACTGAAACATGAAACATTAAGTAAATATTAAAATTATATAAAATAATTGATATATCTCCATAAAACTGCTAGTTTTTTTTACAGAATTTAAAATGAGAATTATGTGCTCTCATTTAGCTTTAGTTTGTTAATCGTTAAACTGTCTTTGTGTTCGCCGCTACAAATGTGCAGATCTCGATCCCAGGGCGACGTTGAAAAATTCTCAACTCGTGATTTTGGTTCGTGTACTTCATTTATTTGCAGCGGGACAGCTAATATTGTTTACAGTGATTTCGTTTGAGACTAACCTTTTAACTTTAACGGAATTATTTTAATTTATCCAAATGAATCTTTCTTTTATAAATCAGAATTAAATCAATTCCAATTTTCTGAATTGTAGAAAATGTAAAATGTTTCAAAATGTATTTTGTTTTGTGTAAAATATGTTTATAAGTTATTTAAGGTATTCGCTATAATTACGAAGTGCACTATCGATCAGCCAATAATACGGAAATTGTGCCCTGGGGATGCAAATTTAGGAGAAATCGAGTGTGCTGGCGTGCTTGCCTGCAGCCGTGATCTTGCATGCTCACTAATAATAAATATCATTAAGTGCGGCATCATAAGGCACGAAGGGATAATTTTGAACAAATTAATAAAATGAAATGCTCTTTTATTTGACTATCACTCATTTTTATTGTTACGAGTATAACCCTTATTTTTTATTTATTTAATCTAAGACTATAAATGTGACTGAATATTTTTACATCCAGCAAATCCGGTGCAAACGAGACTGATGTTGGATAATTTATCCAAGAACATTATTGTCAGCAAGTCCATTACTGAACACGGACCTTCATAAAGAAATTACACAAAATGAGGTCTTGACCCATCTATATTCGTAGACTACCTGCGAGAGAGGAGTCCTAGGGATTCCGCCCCGCATGTCGCTTTCCGGTACGAGGCCGATTAGGAATCAAAATACAGATGCGTTGTCACCTCTGAGGACAACGCATCTGAAAACTTAAGAAAGGCTTTCGAAGAAAAAGAAATATGCTTAGACACTTATTAAAAAAATGGTAGGTACTTGTATAATTAGTTTCTACAATATTATCTGAGATTTCGGTAAACACAGGGTCAACTATATCAGGCAATGTGCCTATGGCGATGTAAATTGCATCGTTTCTTATCGTTGCACTTTATTCAGGGTACTTTTGTGCTCATTTTACATATATTTGCGGGGACGCTGTAGATAGCCGGTGTGGGCGTAGTCCATGGCCGCATACTAATGTACAGGGCCGCTAACGTAGACATGTAGTTGCGTATTTTGTACTAAATTACTGTACTTTCGTAGGATACTCTTTTGCAACTAATCATGTAAAAAGTTAATGATACGTAGTGAAAGATGATATCTTTGTTAAAAAGGTGCACTTAATATATACATTGCCATACATTTTGTTCTTTCGTACTGTCATTAAAAGCAAATGCTTTTTAATGTAAATCATCACATATTATTATAACTTAACTTTAAGGAATAAAATAAGTATAACTTAATGAAATGGTAAAAATAAATTATGGGTTTTTTATTTTGAATGTATTTTGCAGGTCGGCCAAGATACAAATTTAATAGAGGGCCAAATATAGTAGAAATAACTTAAAAGACATTTAGAATGTTACCAATAGGGCTGGCACATACGAGTAAGTTAAGTTAAGTTATTCTCAAATACATGATGTGTACACACTTTTCGACGCCCTAACATAATTGCGAAGAGCCTTGCGGGAATAGCGGCACTGACAGGCCATAGCTTCGGTCACGAACCACTCTAAACATAGAGTCTATCCCTAAACGATGCCACCATATCCGTCGGCATCCAACAACCACCCATGTCTCTTATTCTCCGCAGATAGTAACAAAAACAGACTTTGCCGTTTCTCTGCGCTCAATTATCATCATAAGTGTGAAGCAATTGCGTTCGATATTATACAGAAAAAGTTTTTAGTTTTTAACTGTATTATTTCAAAATTCATATTATACTATGTATGTATTTTTCAAAATGTGGCCAAATTTTAAACTTTAATTCAAATATATAAATAATGAAATACCGTTATTGAAGTTTTTGAAAATGCGAGTAAATAAGGCTTTTTTTCTTCTTTCTTCTACTACTTCTACTTTTTTATTCTACTTTTATTTGAAATTATCGCAAATTCACAACGATTTTGCCTACCGATCGACCCAAATACAAAATGTGTACGTGCGCACGCAATAAAATCAGTGAATTTAATGCAATACCACGCATTTTGAATTTAAAAGATAATTAATATTCAATTCATTTTTCTTGACCATTTGTTTACATTACTTATTCTAAACCTTCTCTGTAAATAAAGATAAACGTCTTATAGTGCTTGCCTTTAGCTTTTTTATACCCTCCTTTATGGTTTTATTTGTATCGTGGAGACGTTTCTATGTAAAACGATTAATTGTAAGTAGATGAATTTACTAATATAGTTTTTGTTAATTTATTTTGAACCATCTCACAGCTAACCTTATTTTTAACCTAATAAATCGTTGGACATTTTCATCCAAATTGCGTAAGGCATTTTTTCTTTTTAACTGGCAGGCATGCAGTATTTCGGAGTGTGGCGATGCTGTACGCTTCATAATCACCTTATTACACCGCGTATAACACAACGTTAATAAATTTTTGAGGTAATATTCTAATATTGAAAAATGATTGATCACTTTAGATACTAAATAAAAGGATACTTCATTGTATTTTGAGGTGCAAGGTGAAATTATATAAAAATGAACTGAGGTAATAAAAGGAATGATGTCAAAAATTTTCGAAGTAAATGACTCGAATGATTGATGTTCGTAAATCTACATTGCAATGCATCCAAAAGAACGAAAACCTGACATCATTTTTCAGGCCCCAATACTCGCATTTGAGTTCGAGTACACATTTCATAATATTAATATTTTAGGGGAAACAAACTCATAATTATTCAACGTCAAAATATATTTTACACTTGTACTATTATTATTCTTTGAAAGAGACGGATAGGTTCCATTTATCTGCATATATGCGTTTAAGTAATCTGAGTAAGTTATAGCTTGCATAAATCAAACTTTGAGCGACCCGGCCCATAGTTGTTTGCCGTTTTGACTCACCGTTGACCTTGCAATTACGAATAACGACTGACTCAATAGCAATAGCTGACGATCGCACGCGTCCTAGGTTTACAACCTAATCTTGCGTTGTGATTGTTCTCTTGCGTCTGATGCTATCCTAAACTACCTCCGTAGATAGCTACTACCTCTATTAATGATGATTTCCTAATCTAGATTTACCGGTTGTAGGTTAGGACTTATAGTTGACATTGCGAAAGAAATTGTCGCACAGGGTGAAATGAACCAGAATGTGACATCATCAATAATATCACCGATATATCTTATTATCCTTTTTTTTAAAGGCAGTCGAATTTTTTTCTGCTTAGTATAGGATTTACTAGACTGTGGTGGAAGATTTTTTGGAAACTATTAAACCCTTGTTCCGCGCCGGACACGAACACGTGGCCTCGCAGCGCCGCAACCCAACGCTTAGCAATAACGCTATTGAGTCGTTTTTATTTAAGAGCCGTGGTAGCTCAGATGGTTAACGCTGGCTGTAAATATAAAGAACGCGAGTAACCCGGGTTCGATCCCCGCCGGCACTGATTTACCACGTGCTCGGCGGTGAAGGAAAACATCGTGAGGAAACCTGCATGTCTGAGGAATAAGAAAAGAAAAATATTTCGAAGACATGTGAAGTTCGCCAACACGCATTGGGGCAGCGCGGCGGACACTTCCTTGCCCTAAAACCCTCTCAAAAATGAGGGTAGGCCTGTGCCCAGCAGTGGGACTTATATAGGCTGTAACTTTTACTTTTTACTTTATTTTAATATACTTTAATACTTATACTTATTCACGTTAATTATGTTTGCTTTATAGGAAATTATAATAGCGTTTTCACATTGCTTTACGTTTACATATTTATTGAAAATTAAATAACATCATTTGTAAGACATATTTGTATGCTTTTATTTTAACCTCTCGCTCGTTTCGCTGGGCGCACGATAATATTTTACTGCGGATCATATACATCTATGTATATAAATATGAAGAATTTTTTTTATTGATGGGACTGTCGTAAATTCCGTGCTTAAATTGTAGCATATACAGGAATGTACAATGTTCTTTGAATTGCTGTGGAACTTGTGCCCGTTTTAACGTACAAAAAGTTTTACGCTTTTATCAACTTTTATTAATAAAAAACATGTCTTACAATGTTGCGTTTACGCTTCACTGTGTTCTATTTTTAATTTAAGCTATAAAAATTAAATGTCACCTCAACCTTTGAATTGACCTCACCGATCAATTTGCAATTTGCTTTTAGATTTTTACTTTAAATACGTTTAATGATCTACCTCAATGCAAATTCCAAGTTTCTAAGTAACCTAAAAAATGCCATTGCCGAACCCCATAAATCGAAAATTATAGTAGGTTCATTTATTCATTCACAGGTTAATTGCAGTTTGCTTGTGTGCAATATTTTGCAGCTTCCTCAACGAGCACGTGGTATTTATGCTCTATTCAATGTAGTTATTGATTTAGAAAAGTTTAAAGTAATTGCGAAGTGAACTCGACACGCCAACTATCAGAAAAGGCAGAATAATTTCTGTCGGGCCGGATCATGAATATCTTAAATACTAGTACAAATGGCATTCATAGTAAATTAAATGACAATGAAAGTATTAAATTTATTTTTAAAATATTTATAAGCCTACTGTTAAAGAATAAGATACCTATATCAGATAGAAAAAAAACTCGAAGTGAAAAATGCGAGGCACTATTTATTCAAATGAGCAAAAATGAGCAAAATAACACTTTTTCCATTTTAATTAAGTGCGTAAAACACGTATTTGCTATTTTGATATCTCAGTTATCTGTATTTACACTTCGAGACATGCGATGTAAAAAAGTTTAAAACTCTTATTTTTGTATGAATAATTTGTTATTCGATATTATGTGTGAGCCGTGGTAGCTAAGATAGTGCTAGCTGTAAACTTCGCAGTACGCGAGCGACCCGAGTTCGATTCCCGCCGGCACTAATGAAATTGTTAATTGCAACAGTCATAATTAAGTGCTGATTTACCACGTGCTCGGCCTACATGTCTGAGGAATAAGAAAATACATATTTTGAGGACAATTAAAGTTTGCTAGCACGCATTGGTGCAGCGCGCCGGACATATCCTTGCCCTGAAACCCTCTCAAAAATTAAAGGTCTGTATTCCAGCTGTGAGACTTATATAGGCTTGTAACTTGAACTTTAACATTATATTAAGTGTGCTACTGGAGTTTAGAGTTTTTTGTTGCCTGTTATTAAAATAATTAGGAAATCCGAAAGAATTTTTATCACGATTTTTTTCTAAGTAACGATGAAAAACGAGCGCACAGAACACCTAATGGTGGGTAGGTGCCATGACACATATATGATCGAACCCTACCTCCATCCCTAATAAGGTATCGAATTGCAGATGCCTTGTCATTCCTGACAACTAAGATAAAAAACCTTCGTTTGACCCACTTGTGCACATGGGTCAGACCATAAAATACTGTAATTACATACATAATAGAACGGGGGAGTGGGCGTAGCCCCTGTAGCCACTAAAATGTCACTAATGCGTCAATTCACACGTATCCAAATTTCGCATACAAATTATTTAGAAAATGCCAAATTGCAAGCTATTTACAAATAAATATGTATTAAAATCTGTCTGTCAACACAGCGAATTGGGTTTGTAGTAGTCATAATACGACTTAATTGCTTGTATGTGTGCTCCCGGCGACGCCGAATCTTGTACAAAATAATGTTGACAGCCATTCTTTTGTGTATTATAGTATTCTATGGGTCAGACGAAGGCTTTTGGCCCAACATTGTATATATGAGTCAGTCTGAACGTGGCCCACCCCGGTTTGGCCCACTAATAATTGTTGTAGTCAAGATGCTGGTACCTGTATATTGTTTCAGTTTTTATCCGCCTCTTAATGCACCCACGGGATTCTAAGCGCAACATAATATAACGTAATATATAAATATTATTTTTGTTATTAATAAAATAAATGATGTTTGCTCAATACACTATAACAACAACAACCTTTGAACAATCCGTATTAATCGACTAGCAGACAATAATCAATTATCGAAACTTGATGAATAGTCTTTTCTACTAAATCGACATTCTGTCATTTCTCTTCCCTTAATCGATTACTTCAATTATGATCCCTAGGGGGTCCAGTGGAGCAAGGCGCACTATGTGAAAGGATTTATCAATAAATCTTTGCTTTTTTATACATTGAGAAAACGATTTGGTCATAAGTAGTAAGAAATCCGTGAAATAGTACCTTTTATAAAATACACGTGTAATATAAAACATATGCCTTATATAAAATTTGAACTCTGAAGAAGATTTATCCTTACATATAACTGCTGGTGAGTCTGTTAATGCTTATTTATATTGCCAAGACGATGGTCCATAGCTATGTATCTATAGGCGTTGTATTCAAGTTATTAAAAAAATCTAGATTTATGGACCAAATTAATCAATTAATGACTCATATTGACAACAATATATAATATTAATTTAATGCCAAAACAGAAAATCACAAAATCTGTACCTGATAGATGGCGCTGTGGTCAAGTTAATTTTATATTAACTCTGTCAGAAAAACCAGAAACTTATCGCACCATCTACCGGAAAGAGAGAACAACTCTACCAAGCAGCGAATTTAATTTTAAAATTCAAGTATGACAGCTTGATTAGTAAATATATGAAGTATAGTCTTTATTTTTACTAATAGGGTAAAATCTCATGCATTCTGGTGTTGAGAATACGTGCAATAAATTTTGTTAACACCTTTCAATTTATTCTCTTCACAAACACGCTGGCACAATCAGCTTTAATTGCCGCTACTTTTACCTAAATATCATGGGCGTCTCGAGTGGTTATTCTGTATTTTTTTGACGGCACCCTCATCATTGTACAAAGAAAAGATTGAGTCATCATAACAAATGCGCACCATCTCTTTGCCGAGGGCAGAGAACTCTTTACAATCGGCCTCTTCTTATCTGTGACGGCTGCGATCAATGTGGCCTGAATTCTTCGTGCTCCGGAGTGCGGATGACGAAACGATGGTGGTTTTAGTCTTTTACTTCGCTGTCCTTTTGTTGACGTGTCGAGTTCTGTTCGAACGGCTTTTTGTAAACGTCCACCGACCACGTTTGTAAAGCTTATGTCTACCTTCATAAATCTTATCTAATATATCTCATCAAGAGAGAATTAAACTGTATTCGCTAGAGTATGGTAAACTAGTGACTGTTGGTCGATAATAAAATAAATGAAGTTTTATTGAAATATGGGCACTATAGAGTTTTTTTTTAAATTAATACGCTCAAGACTTTAAGAACATAGATTTTGACTGCATTGTCTGTTTACTCTATTGGCATAGAACGCAATTGCTAATCATGAAGAAACTGGAACGCGACTGCAAAGAGATCAAAATCAGTTTGGGTTTTTCTATCAACAAATTCCTAGCCTGTTCCCCATGCATCAGAAAGCTCGTAAAGTCTTTGGTTCTGCACCTTGTCTTTCACCGTTCGTGTCGAAATGCCGTCTCTTCGGACTTTGAGAGTGAGCTAACAGAGAGTGCACCTGTAATTGCGCTCACACTCATGCACTATAATTCTGTCCCATGCAGATGGCTAGTCTCCATTCGAAATTCGGTCCAGAAGACATTATGTTGATTTTGACGATCTAAAAGAAATATTGGACTTTTATATAGGCAATGGCATTCTTAAAATGATAGGTGACAGAGTGAATTTTTTTACACAAACGGTGACAAACGAGCACACAGTCCACCTGATGGTAAGTGGTTGCTGTGGTCCATAGACATCTACATCTATCCTCGATTACGAATCAAAATGCAGATGCGTGCGGAAACGTCCTCACGGGTGAGATGCCCTGTTTCCAGTAAAAAGTTCGAATGCCTCGTTTTCAGTAAAAAGGGTCTCCGGTTCTCTACACTCACCATACGAAACACAGCAGCATTAAGCTACTATTTCACGCTGGTATTCTGTGAAAGCGTGGTCCTTCCCCGGTCGAGCCGACCCATTCTTGCTACAACCATAATATAGCTGCAGCTTGGCTCTATCACGTATACAGTGTACTTGTACCTGTGGGCAAGTAGATGCGATACCTCATAGATACATACATCTATTCTTGATGATTAAACCAAATGTGCCTTGCCAACATGCCTTGTCACCTCCGGGGATTAAACAGATTGTCGTTATAAATGGACAGAGCCCCCGGGTACGGAATATAGCAGCTGCATTATGCTGCTATTTTATGTTAGTATTTTGTGACAAGTGATATTTCTTCCTGGCTGAAACCTACCCCTTAGTGAGTGTTACAGCGTGGTTCTACTCGTAGTTCTACCACGTACAACATGTTTCGTTATATAAATGTCATTGCCGTGGTCTATTTCACCCCACCTATTCTCTTTTAAAGAAGATTATAATTATTATTATCATCATTATATATATATATATATATATATATATATATATTTTTTCTTTTCTCGTCCGTTTGAGTTCTATCGAAGTAGATAAGCAAACATTTATATTAATTTCGTAACTAATTTCGATAATATTTTTGCAGGTTGCGGTGACGATCCTTGATAAAAACGACAGTCCCCCGGAATTTAAAAATATACCGCCAGCATATTTGGCATCAGAGGACCTTACACCAGGCCAAAAGATTGCGACGATAGTGACCGAAGATCCAGACACAATCGGCAGTATTACGTATAGCATACAGTCAGATGAACCGACGCCTTTTTCACTTGACCCAAACACTGGTGTACTAACCCTAAAGGAGCCTTTGGACCGAGAAACAACATCTGAATATCAAGTCACAGTTAGAGCCGATGATGGAATGCAGTTCACGGACATAACAGTCGTTGTTCAGGTACGAATAAAATTATTTTTATGGCTTTATCTAAATACTTAAGTATTTATTTCGCTTAACGTTCAATGATAACAAATAGTATAATTAATTCGAAATGCGTTCGCTTTATCTTCGTCCGTGAGCGGATTTTAAATATTTTACAATATGCAGTCTTGGTCGTCGGTCGTTAATACCGTGCCGCTGGCAGAATCAGCCGCCGCTGTACTAACAAGTGCTTCGATGTTTATCATTAAAACTACTTAGGCATAATTTTTCATTAAATTTTCATTGATATTTTCTTTCCTATAACCTTTGTACAATGTATATGAACCCAATGAAGAGTAACTAAATAAATTAAACAGTTTGGCATTTTAATGAGTCATACAACGTTAATGATAATAAATAAGATAAATATATTAATGATAATAAATAATAAATAACACATCAAATTATAATCGGCTAGTTGGAATAGGTTATAAATATGATGATGTTAGTACTACTCACATGAAATTGAACAAATTTATAAAATTAAAACCGTTAAAAAATTTTGATTATTAAAAAAAATTGCTTCATAATATCAAATTTTGGCTTTCCGAGTACACAATCAGAGAACGAAGCCCATCCAACCGTAGATAGATGTAAGACAGGGTGACGTTATATCTCCGAAACTCTTCACCGCTGCATTGAACGACGTTTTCAATCTACTGGACTGGAATAACACCCACCTTCGATTTGCCGACAATACAGTACTTATGGTATAATCGCCGAAGGACCTAAGCACTATGCTCAATGACCTTAATAATGTTTCCCAGGGGATATCTCTTAAGATGAACACGGACAAAACAAAGGTTATGTGTAAAGTTCATGTAAAACCTATGCCAGTAGTTGTTGGGAGTACTACGCTCGAATTCGTTGATGAGTATGTTTACCTGAGCCGCGGTAGTTTAGATGGTTAGCGCTCCCTGTAAATTTCAGACTACACGAGCAACCCGGGTTTGATCCCACCAACACCAATGAAATTGTTAATTTCAATTTTAAGTGCTGATTTACCACGTGCTCGGCAGTGAAGGAAACATCCTGAAGTAACCTGCATGTCCGACATGTGAAGTTCGCCAACACGCATTGGGGAATCGTGGCGGACACTTCCTTTCCCTAAAACCCTCTCAGAAATGTGGGAGGCCTGTGTCCTGCACGGGGACGTATATAGGCTGTAACTTTACTTTACTTTACTTTACTTTTATGTTTAACCTGGGACAAATAGTCCGACTAGGTAAGTCTAACATCGACCCAGAGGTCGGTACTCGTATACCTCAAAACTTGATAGTGAGACAGTACAAACAGTGCGTATTGCCAGTGACGACTTATCGATATGAGACGTGGTTCTTCACTGCAGGTAGAACAAAATGAGGAAGCTCAAAGTCGCTCAATAGCTATGCTAAAGCTATGTAGAGCGCTATTCTGGGGGTTTCTCTGCGTTATAAACTTTGAAATGTGGATATCCACAGTAGAACCCGAGTAACTCACATAGCGCAACGGATTAGTGAAATGAAGTGGCAATGGGCCGGCCATATAGTTCCAAGAACCGACAAACGATGGGGAAGGTTCTCTAGTGGCAACCTTGTACCGGTAGGCGAAGTGTAGGGTGCCCCCCACTAGTTGGAGTGACAACCTGGTAAGACATACACACATGGCATTCCTTGGGGAGGCCTATGTTCAGCAGTGGACATGTGGAGTGCTGTATTCAAGATAATGATGAATATCACATCAAATAAATATCTAATGTCACATACAATATTTCAAATTATGACAGATTTATCACTGTAGTAATATTATTTTTATCAGTGTTAATCTTTGTCTGTTTTGTGTATTAAAATAAATAAATATATAAACTGGTTGTTGTTTCTAGCAGAAATAAAAATGTCTGAGTGATATATGTAGTATCGACTTAAAATGATTAGATCTAAAGTAATTTAGAGTGTAGAAATTACTGAAAATACGTGAGAAATATATTCGCTCATAACAAATTTAGTTAGATATTATGAACATTCATTGTAAAATTTTTAACGAGTAGGAAATATGTACAGCGTAGAATCCAGTAAATAATGAAAACGGAATAGTATAATGTGTGGAACTGTTTTATATAATTTAAAATTGGAATCGATATTTCAGGTAACTGACACAAACGACAATCCTCCTGTGTTCAAAGAAAATGCTTACTCTTTCGACATACTCGAGAACGCTGCAAGAGGTTCTGTAGTCGGAGCGGTCGCTGCAGCTGATTTGGATTCGGGTTCAAATGCTCAATTAACTTATACTGTGGTCTCCGATTGGGCTAACGACGTGTTCTCATTGAATCCGCAAACTGGCGTGTTTACTCTAACCGCTCGACTCGATTATGAAGAGGTAGGCATTTAGTGATAATTTAAATTTAAAGTACTAATGATTATAAACTTTTAACATCTAAGTTGACTGTTAAGTACTAACTGTTATATTATATATTATTATTACAAAAATACTGTTACAATGGTATCAGTAATTGCTTTGCATATTTGATTTGAATCTGTTTTCATAAAATGTTTAGATACGATGTACATTTTATTTATATTAATGGTTTATCCATTTTAATACCGGCTCGACACTTTTAAAATAAAAAGACATTTTATTGAAGCCGCTCATATATATTTATTATCTAGACCTTGGCATATTGGATCGGCGCACTGAACGTTATATGCTCGGCGAATTTACAAATAAATTATTTATGTGAATAGGTTCACTCATCTTTGCTGATGTAGGCTAGGTTTCCTTGTTTTATCCGCATACAATTATTTCGCTTATGTATTATTGGACAGGACCAGCATAAGGTATTTTATAAGCTATTTAGAGATCCGAGGTGATTTAATATGTGTTTTTAATTGAGCAACAAATCATGCGTAAATATCAGACATGTATAAATTTTTATGTCGGCTTTCTTTTTTACTAATCTTATAAATAATTAATAAATATGCATCCTTCGGCTTTGTCGTTCGTTTAGCACCACCCGGGAAACACGTGTATGATGGGTCTAGGATTAAGTGGTCGAGACCTACGGACGCTGGCGACTCGTCCCACCCGCGTGTGACTAGGATTAAGAAGGGCTGCTTCGTTGATTTAGACGCGTAGAAAGAATGAATGAGGAAAGAGTGACATGGAAGTTCATTGATCATATTGGCGATATATTATGAATGGGCCAAATTAATAATACACTTAACTAACGAGCATGTACGCATAGGCATATGAATGTGAAAGAGCGAAAGAAGTGTACCAGTATCGTGCCATATAGAAGTTAGACAATAATCCCTTGGATAGCGAACCTGTTATGCAGGGACTAAGAACTTCCATATGGCTATAAACGAGTACATAGATAATTAAAGGTTATGTTATTCCAACTTAAAATATTTGTAATTTAATCATTGTCAATAAATAAAATAAGAAAGCAATTAAGGCTATAGTAGCTCTTGGTGTTATACTTACACAAAATTTGAATAGGTTACGACAAGCAGTGGTATAATAAAATAACAACGTAACATACAAACTAATTGTTCACAATAACAATTCATACTAAAATACGATGAAAATTCTATACAGAAGATCTCCTAATTTATTCGATAAATGAAATTGATGCCCACTGTATGAGCATGGGCGTATGTATAATGAATAGGCCGAAGCGGTAGGTTTTACTTTCAGACAGCTTTCGTCCACTTCCACCGTGTGCTTGTATACATTGAGGTTGATACAATTATCTCAACTTAGATCTAGACGAGGCCGTTGACCGCGAAGCCGTTCAATCGAAGCTTAATTTGTTTTAATTTCTTCTTAAATGTTACCTCTATAAAAGAACCTATAAAATGTTGCTTGTAAATAATTTTTGTAGAGCACTTTGTTAAACATTTTAAACATATGATACTACAGAATATATGTAGGTAAATATGAATTAAATTGCATATACAATCTATATATTAATGTAGTATTGTTTTACGACCACGTATAATATACATATTATGTACAACATGGAGTTAACGTCTGTTTAAAAATAATACTTTGTTAGTTTTATACACGGAAATTGGAATGTTTTTAAGGAGAATCATAATCACAGAACAGACATCTAATTGTATGAGCCTGACTATTAATAAAAAGAGAATTAACATTATGTAAATTGTTTCAAAGTTATCGACGTACATTATTACACCGAAATACAAAATCATGTAAAATTGTATCATATCCGATTGATGATTGCAAAATTTAAATAATTAATAAAATAATTATTAGTAGAATACAGTTATTTGTTACTCAATAGGATATCGCGTTAAAAATTAATCCGTATAATATTTTTTTAAATCAAAATGTAACTCTAGTGCTGTACTCGTTTGTATATTTGTATTGTTAGAATATACGTAGAGAACTTTCCAATGTCTTTAATTTTTCGATAAAATTGTAAATTTAGTTTGAAATTACGATTATTTTAAACGAGGTCACATCCGCAACCATGAACGTTATCGTCTCTTTTCATTCGATACCTACCTACTTCGAAATTTGTATAAATATGGGTTTTATCTGTACAATGCATATTTTTTTAGCCAGTATTGCCAACAATGTATTTAAGATACATATAAAAGATTATGTTAATTCGTGAGAAAGAACCAAGGACAAGAGTACAATTACGGTCTTTTTAAAAAATTATTCGAGTCACTTACCAGAATGCCTTTTGGGCGTAAAAATAAGATAAGGATAAGTAAAATTTATTACAAGCCGTGTAAAATATTGCATGTTGTAGGTAAGTAAGATGCGCAATATAGAAACGAAGGACGATGCTGCCCTTGAGCTGGTTTTTAATGCAAGTCTGTGCGGGATGAACATACGGCGATATTCGTACAATGCCTATGTTCATTCACTGAAGGTCGCTTTATCCTTAATGGAGAAGAGAAATTGTATGAACATCAAAAGAGAATATAATAAAACGAGTTCTTTTCTGCGGCGTCTACAATATTTATTAGAGATGATCAGAGCCTTTTAAGAGCGATTATTCAAATTTTCTTGCGTCTTTTTGGAGAAACAAAACTTAAAAGCCCACATAGAAAAACTAAAACACTGACGATATATGTTCTGATTATATGTTAGTGTTCTAATAAACTTAATATAGGTATTCATATTATACTTTTTATTTAACTTATGGTGATTTTAGGGTAAGAAGATATAAAAGTGGTTATGTTTATACCTTTGTACTATAAGATGCCGTAACTATTATATCAACAGTCTTTGAAAGGGCCCGAAAAGACTTTTGTTAAAAAGTTGACTATAGATAGACAGTAATATTTATTGATTTATTCTTCAATGAGTAAAAATCATTATACCGTGTCATTCTCTTCCGTCCAGTTGCAACTTCAAATTTGATGAAAAAACAAGGTACAATATAATATAGTATACAGTATAAAGATAAAAATGATAATAGTTAATTTTAAAAGTTATGCCGAGTAACAAATCAAGTGTAATATCCTATCTCACTTTAGAATAATCAAACAAAATCACTATTTAAAAAGGCATAAAAATAGTATCCAGATTAGGGCGTTAATCTGGTTAGAGGTCATTCTGTGTAGGGATCCATATTACCTTTTTCTATCGCCAAGCAGAAGCGCATCAATTATCGTGTTCAAGTTATAAAGTACTACATCGGAATCCTTAGGATTGACGTCAGAAGGTGTAACTTTTGGATCTCATTTATTTTGTAGTCTCCGCAATGTCAAAGCATGCTCATTTAGTTTAAGGAGGTTTTGAAGAGACACATTGAAAATATGTAATAGAGTACCCTTTTAGGATTAAATCAAGCTTTTAGGAGTTACTTTGAGGCAAACGATTACAAGAGATTACATCACTTACCGTGGAGTGAACTGTGTGCTTGTTTACGAGTATCACCCTTATTCTATAAAAAATTCTTTCCAAGCGCTAAGAGCTTAAAGCTGATCTTACCTACCTTTAGTGTACTTGTTCTTTTTTTACAAGATCACAGAAGTTAAAAAGTGGTTTCTGTTGCTGAAAGTCGCTAGGATCGATCATAACTTTGAAGTTGGTAGCAGATCTCCATTGGCTACAATAGTAGTCACTTACCAATAGGTATAACTATCAGATTTAAGTTCTTTTCGATCGTAACAAAGAAAACAACATAGACGTAATATTGTTGGTTCCCGAACTAAGTCGGTACTTGTACATATCGCGGGATCCTGACATGTGTCATAATGACGACGAATATTGATACAGTAGTTTAGATTGTAACAGCACAAGAATATTATTAAGACGATATCATGTACTCGTGCGTTGATGTGAGTGCACGCTGCTTTGTGTGTGTTTGTGCGTACTAATGCGTTATATTGTTGCTCGCTGGCCAAAAATAATATTCCCACGTGATTTATTTTTAATATTTATGTAATTTTTGAGTTTAAATTGAAAATCTTTAATTTCACTGTAGTGTTACCAGGTGGTAGGATTTCTTTCTGCCTGGTTAGGCACCACCTACCTATCTATATTCGCTGCCCAATAACACTACCTATACCTATAGGTACTGCTCCGGTGTTCCGGTTTGAAGTGTATGGAGAGTCAGTGTAATTAAAAGCTTTGAAGCATTCCATTTTAGACCTCAGACGTGACAACGAATTAGTAGCCGTCTTTTTTGTTGTAAGTTGGCTGCAGGTGTCCACAGACTGCAGTAGCTGCTTACCGTCAGGTGGACTATACGTTCATTTGTCACTTTATAAAAGAATTGTTATAAAAATATGTTATAAATACTTTTATAAGAAAAGGTTTTAAGTGTTCTTGTAAAGTGAAAACTACCCTTATATATTATATATTAGAATACAGAATGGTGAAAGTGATGATGATGTGAGATGTTTGTGTGTTCACTCTTACACATAAGTCCTGTGATTTAAGGGTAGGTATGCGACAGGTATTGTCGTTTTGATGGAATACGCCTATTATTTGATTTGTGTAGATAAAAAATATACGTATAGGATTTTGAGTTATTTTTACTAGATCAGTACAGAATTGAACATAGAGATGTTATGTGTAAAAAATATTTTATGGAGCTTTTCTTTGCTTCTTTGCTTGACCAATATAATTTTCACGTACGTCTTGAGGCTTGACTAACTAGGAGTTATTCCTGTAGCTTGTACCGTAGCTTAGCGCCAGCCTATAGTAATACTCATCAGTACGTCTATAAAATAACAACAACTTGTTGAATTCCTCATGGCCATGAATCATCATACAGCTTATGTAGTTAATGTGCTCTAGAAAAATGTGGAAATTTCTACGCAATGTAATAGTGAGTTGGTCTCTTAAAATAATAAATAGAATAGGCTCTACAATGTTGTATATTAGTGTTTAACAAATTTCTGTTTATGTTAGGTCGATAATTAGAAATGCTTGAAAGTGTCTCATCTCTAACAAAAGTTTTTAAATATCTCGTGTGTTCGTTCGTGAAGTATAATGGCGTAGCGTAGCGGTCGTTTTTCCCGACTCATCAAGTCAGCCAACTCTGCTAATTAATAAAAACAATTCGCTGTACACTCGTTGTCCCGACCGCCCGCCAATTCCGCGTACCTCGCTAGAGAGCTGCTAATTTCATCCCAGTAAAGTTTTTTCGCGTCGCGCATCATATTCGGCATTTGCCCACTCGATCCGCCATTGAAATTAAGGCCGAACGATGTCAGACAAAGCGGCCGTCTGCAAAACATTCATGGGCCGGATTCCACGACCACAGCCTTTTTTTTAAATAGACATCTCGCTTCACGATGCACGAATGAGAGCTTGTCATAGCTGGGAGGCTTTGGTGACCAATTATAAATCTAAATACAAAATAGGTTTTAAAATAATGACGAAATTTATTTTATTTTGATTTGACGAACATCTATTCCTGTTTAATTCGTAAATAATACACTGTTACTGATATATGATATATATATATATATATATATATATATATATATATATTCCGGAAGAATGTTGTGCTCACAGTACAAATCCACGAACGCAAAGGCTTTAACTTGCTTGAAATAAAGTTCATTTCTCTTTATTTTTATTGAATGACAATTAGTAATAATACAAATAAAACTGCACTCTTAAAAGTCTTATTGCCTAAAGTTGTGGTCCATTTCAGTTTCTTTTGACTGTACAGATTTAGTATGACTGTAATTTACGTAGTTTTAATTATTTTTGGGATAAAAAATTACCTATATTAGGAATCAATTCAGTAAACGATTCTGAACAACTACACTACACTACTTCCAGGATGTGCGTTAATTATGTTGCATGTTGTATATATATATGTTATAATAACATTAAAAGAGAATGTCCGGAGTGACTGACTTATCTACCAGATCAACACACCTACCTACCTAAAACCTAACCTAAAATTTAAACAGTCTATCGTATATCGTAGGCACCGAATAAGAAAGGATTTTGGAAAATTTAACCCCTAACGGGGTAAAATAGAGTATGAGAGTTTGTATGAAATTACTACATATATAAATGCTAGAACCGTGCTGCAGCTATATTATGATTGTAGCACGAACGGGTCGGTTCGACTGGGGAAAGACCACGCTATCACACAATACCACCGTAAAATAGCAGCGTAATGCTCCTGTGTTTCGCATGGCGACTGTTGAGATCTTGAGACTCTTTTTACTGGAAACGAGGCATTCTATCTTAAAATACGTAATACGTAATAAGGTTCGCAAACCATGTAGGTTCTATCTAAATGAAATGTTTTTTTTTATTGTTTTTGACAACGCTAACCTTATATTTTAATTTATAAATTATGATTTTAAATTTCAGACCCAACACTACATACTGGTTGCGCAAGCGCAGGATAGTGGTCATCCATCCCTTTCTGGCACTGTTACTGTTTATATCAATGTGGTAGATCTAAACGACAATGCGCCAATATTTGATCCAATGAGTTTTTCAAACGAAATCTTAGAAGATGTTCCTGTAGGTACTTCGGTTGTGACCATAAGTGCTACAGATATGGATTCAGGTAACTTTTTTAGATTATATAGAGTATATGTTAAATTTGATTCAATAAATGAAAGAAATATTAATAACTATAATTTATCTATATTGCATTACACCATTGGAATTGGGCTTGTAAGTAAGATTACTCGTAGGTAACATATATATGGAAACTAAGTCAATTTTAGATATCTACTTTTAACGAGTTTTTGTACTAAATTTCAGGATATAATGGCAAAATAACGTATAGCATTACATCTGGCGACGATGGCGAAGATTTTCAAATCTCGTCGAACGGGACAATACGGACAATTAAATCGTTAGACAGGGAAAAAATACCAATTTATAATTTAATTGTAACTGCGAAAGATTTGGCAAAGTCACCAGAGCCGCAGTTGTCTTCTACAGTGCAGGTAAATAACCTCACACGTTTAAAGCTTTCAAAGGACCTCTTTAGTCGTTATATTCCGAAGGTTGATTACATATTTATTTTAACAAGTTTGTGTTATTTTTCGCTTAACTGTACTAAAATACTTTCACTGAGAATTACTATACATTTGTGAAGCTCTGAACGTCATAATTTTTTACCTTTTATTTTTAAAGAAGCATAAATTTGTTATAATATGTTTTGATTGTTGTAATATTCCTATTATCTTCATTTTTCAAATAGAACTTAACCCAACTAATAAAATAGTTAGAAAAATTATTTTCAATTGTTTCTTTAAAACTTGTGTTTTATTCTATTAGTATTCAAAATCATATCTTAAAATTTTTATGTTTTAAGGTAACAATACAATTAAAGGACGTTAATGACATGGCTCCAGAATTTGTAACTCCTAATATAACATTTGTTTCTGAGAATATTCCTCTAAATACAGTCATAATGACAGTCAAGGCAATCGATAAAGATGAAGGCAGAAATGGCTACATTGAGTATTTTATGGATCCGGATCCTGAAATTAACGGTTATTTTTCTCTTGGAAATGTTGATGGAATTTTGCGCGCTACTGGAAAACTTGATAGAGAGTTAAAATCGAGCTACATGATATCTGTCAATGCTAAAGACAGAGGAGACCCCCCAAACTTTACAAAAACTAAGATAGTAGTTCAAATTTTGGATGAAAATGATAATAGCCCTGTATTTGACCCTAAACAGTATAGTGCCTCAGTTCCAGAGAATGCCAGTATTGGAGCAAATGTTTTACAAGTTAGTATAAGATTTTATTCATGTGAACCACTTGTGGCAGCGAAATGTTTTTTACTAATTATTTTAACAGGTTTCAGCTACAGATGTGGACCAGGAAATAAATGGACAAGTGAGGTATTCGATTGCATCAGGAGATGAGAACCGTGATTTCAGTATAAGTGAAGACACTGGAATCGTAAGAGTAGCTAAAAACCTTAATTATGAAAGAAAGTCCCGTTATTTACTTACAATCAGAAGCGAAGACTGTGCTAAGGATGATGTTAGATTTGACACGGCTGAATTATCTATATCAATTCAAGACATCAATGACAATCCACCTACATTCCTAGATTCACCATATTTAGCATATGTAATGGAAAATATTATACCTCCCAATGGCTTCATTATTACTGTTCGAGCTTATGACGCCGATTCACCGCCATTTAATAATCAAGTACGTTATTTTATTAAAGAAGGTGATGCTGATTTGTTCAAAATAAATGCTTCGTCTGGACAAATTTCACTACTACGGACATTAGATCGAGAAAATCAGGATGAATATACATTGTCCCTTGTAGCTATGGATACAGGTATGACATAAATTTACTTTAATATTATAATTATAATTAAACTGAGTTACTTATTTACTTATATATAAAGTTATTACTATCATTAATTTTTTTTCTTATACAGGATCACCACCGCTAACAGGTTCTGGTACTGTTAAAATTATAGTTCAAGACGTTAATGATAATAGTCCAAATTTCGAAAGACAAAGCTATAAGACGATTGTTAAAGAAAATATGCCAGAGGGTACTATAATTTTAAAACCAAAAGCTATTGACAAAGACATTGGCAATAATGCTAAGATCCGCTATAGTCTACTTGGTGAAAAATCTGAAAGGTTTGTTATAAATCCAACTACAGGAGTAATTTCAACAAACACATCATTAGACAGAGAAGAATGGGATGTTTACTATCTTATAATTATGGCTCAAGACTCTTCTACTACTGATCCACGGACAGCAACAGCTAACGTTACAATTTTAGTTGAGGATGAAAATGATAATACCCCAACATTTCCGCAGTCAATTTATGAAACTTACATTTCAGATCGTACTGTTCCGGGAGACTTTATATTTGGAATAAAAGCAAAAGATAGTGACGTTGGATTGAATAAAAAGATATTGTATGATTTAAAAGGTGAACACCAAGAATTTTTTAGTATCAATAAAGAAAGTGGTGTAATAAAAGCTAAACAAAGTTTGATTAAGTTTAAAGACAGTAACAAATCATCATATAATTTAATAATTATAGCAACTGATTGTGGTTCTACACCAAGACAAAGTACAGCTGACTTAATACTTATTCCGAAATCGGTTAAGAATTTTCCAAAATTTACTGTTACAAATAAACTAACATTTACTTTTTCCGAAGATACCCCTGAAGGTGTTTTAGTAACAAGGTTATCGGCCATGTCACCTAAAAAAGGTCCAACTAGTTTGTTACAATATGCTATAGCAGGAGGTAATGTAGGTGATGCATTAAGAGTAGAACCAATAAGTGGTGAAGTCTTTATAACTGGTAAAGGACTTGATTACGAAACTATGCCTCTGTACGAAGTATGGTTTGAGGTTAGAGATTCAGATAATCCTCCGTTGAAATCATTTATTGAAATAGAAATAAAAGTTACAGATGCCAATGACAATGCACCTATTATAGAAACTTTGTTATATAATGCTACAGTACCAGAAGAAGAATCTCCTCCGCAGTTAGTAGTCAAAATTGAAGCACACGATGAAGACTCTAATGAGAATGGAAGAATATCATACAGGCTTGTTAATGATTATGAAGAGACGTTTATAATTGATCAAGAAACCGGTGAAATTTCCACTAATATAGCATTGGATAGGGAGTCTATACCCTTTTATGAAATATTAGTAGAAGCTTTTGATCACGGAGTCCCTCAATTAATTGGAACATCTACGGTAATAGTTACAGTACTCGATAAAAATGATAATCCACCGAGGTTTACACGTTTGTTTAGCGTTAATGTTACTGAAAATGCTGACATAGGTTCATTCGTTATACGAGTTACGAGTTCAGATCTTGATACGGGACGAAATGCAAACGCAACGTACAGTTTTGTTGAAAATCCAGGTGAAAAATTTTTAATTGATCCAATTAGTGGAAACGTAACAGTTGCGGGACATTTAGATAGAGAATTACAGGATGAGTACAATCTTAAAATTGCTGCAATTGACGGCGCTTGGAGATCAGAGACTCCCCTAACAATCACTATTCAAGATCAGAACGATAACGCACCGGAATTTGAATATTCATTTTACAGCTTCAATTTTCCTGAGTTACAGAAGAAGAATAGTTTTGTCGGCCAAATTATTGCTACTGATAAAGATAAACAGGGCCCTAACTCTATTATTTCATATTCATTACAGCAAACATCTGATTTATTCACGATTGATCCAGCCACAGGCGAAATTCTAAGTAAATTTACGATGAAATATAAAAGAACATTAAATAATATGTCTCCTGAAAACACCTACTCTGTTATTGTTGTTGCAACTGATAATGGGAAACCACCAATGTCTTCTGAATGTTTGGTAACAATCAATGTCGTTGATGCTAATAATAATAAGCCGAAATTTAAAGAACATGAAAAATTTGTACCAGTACCTCAAGATGCAATTCTTGGAGAAAAAGTTGTTAAACTGACAGCAGAAGATAACATGGACTTTGGAATAAATGCAGAAATAGAATATTATGTTTCCGGTGGGAATGGAACAGCGTTTTTTACTATTGATAAAACACATGGATGGGTTTTTGTTAACAAACAATTTCATTATACTGGACAATACTATGAGGTAAAAATAAAAGCTGTTGATCGTGGAATTCCGCCTCAGTTTGACGAGACAGTTATAACGTTCGTAGTAACCGGTGAGAACATATACAGTCCTAAATTTACGGCACTTAGTTATCAAGTGATTGTTCCTGAAAACGAACCTATAGGCTCTTCAATACTGACACTGAAAGCTAACGATGAAGACGAAGGACCTAACGGTATTATTAGATATGCTATCTCATCTAATTCTGGCAAAGAATTTCAAGTTGATCCCGTTACGGGGACTATAAGTATCCTTCGGCCCCTCGATTATGATGAAATTCAGGAATATCGTTTTAACATAACCGCTACTGATCTTGGTTTTAAGCCAAAAGAAGCAACAGCAACTGTTACAATTACTTTAACAGATATTAATGACAATGCACCTCAGTTCAATCAGTCACATTATGAAGCTTACTTGGCTGAAAATTCACCCGTAAATAGTTTTATATTTAAGGTACATGCCGTTGACATTGATTCACCGAAAAATGCAATTATAAAATATCACATTAGGAATGACATGTCATCCTTGTTCTATATCGGCGAAAACACTGGAGCAATATTTTCAAAAGAAGTGTTTGATTACGAAGAAAAGATATCCTACAAATTAGAGATTATGGCTGAAAATCCCGGTTCCATGATGCGTAACATAACTGAAGTAGTGGTGCATATAACTGGTGTCAATGAATTTTATCCCAAATTTGTACAACCAGTTTTTCATTTCGACGTGTCTGAGTCAGCGGACGTTGGAACTAATGTTGGTATTATACAAGCAACAGATCAAGATAGCGGTGACGATGGCATCATTTATTACTTATTTGTTGGTTCTAGCAATGATAAAGGATTCAGCGTTAATTCACAAACTGGCGTTATAAGAGTAGCTCGATATTTAGACAGAGAAACACAAAATAGAGTTGTTTTAACTGTGCTAGCCAAAAATTCTGGTGGTATTCATGGTAATGATACTGATGAAGCTCAAGTTATCATATCAATACAGGATGGAAATGATCCACCTGAATTTTCAAGAAATTATTACGAAGCAACAATTTCTGAATCTGCTATTGTTGGCCAGAAAGTAACTCAGGTAAAAGCTGTGGACAAAGATGTACGTCCACAAAATAATCAATTTAGTTTTTCTATACTAGGTGGTAATATAAATCAAGATTTTAGAATCGATCCCCAATCTGGTGAAATTGAAGTGTCTCGACAACTCGATAGAGAAACAATACCTACATATTCACTTATAGTGGGTGCTATTGATACTGGCTTACCTCCACAAACAGGCACAACGACGGTTAAAATTACGCTCACTGATGTTAATGATAATGGCCCATTATTTGATATAGCTAATTTTGATGGAGCTGTTTATGAAAATGAACCACCTAATACTAGTATTACCACACTATCGGCAAATGACCCAGATTTGCCACCAAATGGGGCACCATTTTCATATTCTGTAATTGGTGGCATACATCAAAATTACGTGAAAGTACACAGGCATACTGGTGCATTGTTTACCACTAAAAAAATTGATAGAGAGTTAACACCGCAACTGGAAGTGATAATTCAGATTGAAGATAGTGGTACACCAATAATGAAATCAAACTACACAATATATATAAAAGTTTTGGACAGAAATGACAATCCTCCATCTCCAAGATCAGCTCATATTCTTGTTTATGCATTTAATAATAAAGTACCACTAGGTAAGATTGCAGACGTTAAACCAAATGATCCAGATATTATTGGTGACTATAAATGCAAAATTATAAAAGAGTCTACAACAGAAAATACTCTTTCATTATTTAGCATACGTAAAGGATGCGACCTTCATACTAATGACGTGAGACCAGGACAAGGATATTCATTTTCAGTATCTGGTAATGACGGTCTTCATACAGATGTAATATCATCAATAAGTGTTGAGTTCTTTTCTTTTGATAATACTACAGTTGAACAATCCATTACAATGAGAATACTAAATATGACTGCATCAGATTTTCTCAACCATTTCTATCGTAATTTATTAGACATTTTGAGAGGTGGTCTAAAGAAAGACGAAAGTGCATACTTGTATAGTATAAATGAAGTAAAAGCTGGATTAGACTTAACAATAGCAATAAAAAGTAATAACTCTGTTTGGAAAAAAGAAAACACCGAGAAGTATGCTAAAGCGAAAGAATCTGAAATAAGTAAGATGTTAAAGACCCCACTTATTGTGTCGTATTACCCATGCGCGTCACATCATTGCCTAAACGATGGTGTTTGCACTGATGCGATTAAAGTTATAGACAATGTAAAGATTATTGAAAGTTCCCCTCTTGTTCTTTCTTCCCCACTTGTTCATCATGACTATACTTGTCATTGCACAGATCGATTTATGGGAATAAACTGTGAAAGAAGACAAGATCCTTGTTCACCAAATCCGTGTAATTATGGAGGTCAGTGTAGAAAACAAGGACACGACTTTATATGCTCATGTCCACCTCGACGGGAAGGAAAAACGTGCCAGTTTGAAAGGGATGACGTTTGTAATAGCAATCCTTGTAAAAATGGAGGTTCTTGTAAAGAAAGCACTGACAGCAATTCATTCTTTTGTTTATGTCGCCCTGGTTATCGTGGAGATCTATGTGAAGCTTTAGTAGACTCGTGCAGACCCAACCCATGCATGCATGGGGGTATTTGTATCAGTTTGAAACCTGGGTACAAATGTAGTTGTACCAATGGTCGATACGGAACACATTGTGAAAGTTCTACATTTAGTTTCAATGAGCTGTCGTATATGCAGTTTCCGGCCTTGGATGCATCAACTAATGATATTACAATTATTTTTGCAACAACAAAACCAGATGCTTTATTGTTATATAATTATGGTGCTCAAACTGGTGGGAGGTCAGATTTTATAGCAATAGAGATTGTAGGCGGAAAACCTGTTTTCTCATTCGGCGGTGCCAGAACATCAATAACTTCAGCTTCTATTATGGATCCCGCAGTAAATACCGCTGATGGTAAATGGTACAAGTTAACAGCTACCAGAAATGGTCGAGTCATTTCACTTAGCGTCACTTCTTGCACTGACCACGGTGATATATGTATGGAATGTGAGCCCGGAGATAATTCATGCTATGATGATGACACTGGACAAGCTGGGTACGTTAATTTCGATATTATTTTTATATGTGCATTTTAATTTCGTCTTGCGGTGGTGGTATTAAAGTGTGGGGGCGTTATGAGCAAATTTATTACTATATCACATCCCGTATCTGTCTCGTAAGAAATGACTGAAGGTATGCCCGGCATATCTCTCTGTCATCTAAAGACGACGGTGTAACAGGACTGAACTGGAACTAAAATAGCTATTATTTCAAGACCTCGGGTATAAAAGTAAAAAAAAGTAAAGTTACAGCCTATATACGTCACACTGCTGGGCACAGGCCTCCTCTCATTTCTGAGAGGGTTTTAGGTCAAGGAATAGTCCGCCGCGCTGCCCCAATGCGTGTTGGCGAACTTCACATGTCTTTGAAATATTTTTTCTTATTTCTCAGATATGTAGGTTTCCTCACGATGTTTTCCTTCACCGCCGAGCACGTGGTAAATCAGCACTTAAAATTTGCAATTAACAATTTCATTGGTGCCGGCGGGGATCGAACCCGGTTTGCTCGCGTATTGTGAAATTTACAACGAGCGCTAACCATCTGAGCTACCACGGCTCCTCGGGTATAATACTACTTAAATATATTATTTTTAGAATAAGTGTGATAAACGAGCAAACACTCCACCTGATGCATATAGTGATGCAAAATCTAGCACATAGACATCGACATCTACCCTCCATTAGGCCATAAAATGCAGGTGCGTTGCCCCCCTCGAGGACTAAGATGGAATGCCTGATTCCCAGTAAAAATGGTTCCAGTTCCCTAGATTCACTATACGAAATACAGTATTAAATAAGGTCGAGTTGACCTATTTGTGTGTGTGTGTGTGTGTGTGTGTGTGTGTGTGTTTTCGTGTAAGACATTCAGCAGGGTTCAGATCTGGAATAACTAATCCGTTATAGCATCAATAATGATTACGTTATTGTTTCCAGAACACTGAACTTCAATAATGAACCGTTGCTTATTGGTGGATTGCATAAAGCTGATCCTGTTTTGGAACGTCCCGGCCAAATTCACTCTGACGACTTTGTCGGATGTATGCACAGTATTTCAATTAATGGCCGATTACTAAATTTAACAAATCCTCTAAAAGCACGTGGAGTTGAAGCTAATTGCGATCGCACAGAGAAAGGCGCGTGCTATAAGAAAGACATTTGTGGTTCTGGCAAATGCCTTGACAGATGGAAAACCAATAATTGTAAATGCGACAAAAATGTTATTTCTCCTGATTGCAACATAGCTTTCCAACCAATATCAGTAACAGAAAACGGATTTATTAGCTACGTTATATCAGAAAAACACAGACGGATGCAGTTACTTGAATCATTTTATGGAGGTGATACTAATTGGGAAAAAAGAAGCGGAAAATTTTTTGCTAGAACTGGAGCAAAATTAAATAACCCAGCAAAAATTATAACATTCTTTTTTAAAACAAATAGAAAAGAGGGTGTTCTTTTTTATGCAGCTACTGATAAGTACTATACTATCATTGAGTTATATGAAGGAAAAATTAGTTATACTTCAAAGCAAAACTCTGTGGTTAATATGACACAACATGAACAGCATGATGTTTCTGACGGTAACTGGCACAATGTTACACTGTATTCGCATGGAAGAAGTATTCGATTGTTAGTTGATAATGTTAATGTGGGCGAAGAGCTCGACGCAGCTGGAGTCCATGACTTTTTAGATCCCTATTTAACTGTTATTTCTTTGGGAGGAGCTAAAGCAGAATTGATATCAAATAACAACAAATTTGAGGGATGCTTAGCTAATTTTACTATCAATTTTGAACTACAACCATTTACAGGCAATGGCAGCATTTTTAAAGAAATAATGCGCAAAGGAAAGATATTACCTGGATGTCATACCACCTTTGGTACTGGCATGGCTCAAAATCCAAACCCATTGAATATAGGCATAACGCTCGTAATAGTATTTTTCATAATATTGATTGTAGCTATTTCTATTTCATTTATTGTTTATCGCCTTCGTAAGCAAAAGAAAGAAAAAGGTAATAGTTCAGCAAGCAAGACAAATATAGTACACACAAAACAAAATGGTGGTCCGGCTATGCTTAACGCTCCGAATTTGATTGCTGGAACTAATGACAGTATAATGAACCGGCATAATAATGAAACAAGTTTAAATAGTTATATGTCTGAAAATGCTGATATAATGCGAAACGTTGGGCATATTGTAGGACCTGAACTATTATCGAAAAAATATAAAGATCGTGAAATAATGAATATTGATCCACCTAGGCCTCAACGACCAGATATAATAGAAAGAGAGGTAGTTGGAAAGAGTCCAGCTTTAAGAGAAGATCATCACCCCCCTCCAGCTCAATCAACAAATACTTCTCACCACACCCACGACCACCCAAGTGGTATGGATCTAAATTCAGAAGTACCTGAACACTACGATCTTGAAAACGCTAGTTCTATTGCACCATCAGATATAGATATAGTTTATCATTATAAAGGATTCCGAGAAGCGCCGGGTGTTCGAAAATATAAAGCAACGCCACCACCAATTGCAGGCTATCATCATAAACATCAAACCCCTCAACATAGGCATTCACCACATCATCCAAGTGGATATCCACCCAGAGTTTTGTCCCAAGCAACTCAACCTCCTCCTCAGCCTAGGCAACATCAAACCACACCATTAGCTCGATTATCCCCCAGTAGTGAACTTAGTCAACAACCAAGAATTCTAACCTTACATGACATTTCGGGGAAGCCTTTACAAAGCGCTCTTTTAGCAACAACTTCTAGCTCAGGAGGGGTAGGAAAAGATGCTTTACATAGCAATAGTGAACGTAGTCTGAATAGCCCTGTGATGTCCCAGTTAAGCGGACAAAGTTCTTCGGCGGGGAGAAAGACACCAAGTGCAACCCCGCAGGTTCCCCAAGTTGTTTCTGTTGGATCTGGTGCTGTAGGTTTAACTGCAGAAGAAATTGAAAGAATGAATGCTAGACAAAGAACATCAAGCTTAGTTTCTACTTTGGATGCAGTGTCAAGTTCAAGTGAAGCACCCCGTGGGGGAGGAGTCAGTCACCATATGTCACACAGGCATCATACTCCACCAGCTGACAATAGAAGTTCTACCGGGTCTGACGATGAGAGTGGTAACGATAGCTTTACATGCTCAGAAATAGAATACGACAATAATAGCATAAGTGCAGATAAACCTGAGGATATCAGGAGACAGAACATTAATAGTGGGAACAATAACAAGAAACCCATTTTACCTCCACCATATGAAAGTTTCGATTCCTCATTTCGAGGGTCCTTAAGCACGTTGGTCGCATCAGACGATGATTTGACTCCCCATGTCGGTGCAGCTTTATACAGGCAAGCAAACGGATCTCCTGCACCTGCCACACTTGGTTGGGATTATTTTCTAAACTGGGGTCCAAACTTTGAAAGCATGATTGGAGTATTTAAAGATATTGCCGAATTACCAGATGCCGTAAATGGTAGAATGTCTTCCTCACTGAGACTACCGAATGGTACTCCAAAGCCTTCGGAAGAATATGTTTGATATAAGTACTAAGCAATTGTAAATACATTTAAAGTTATATAGAATTGTAAATTTTTTGTTGAGATCTTGTATCAAGGTCTTCGTAGGTTCAACTTCTTGCCATATTTTGCTATTTTTTTTATAAAATTTTGCTGGAATTTAAGTAAAAAGACTATTATTATTTTAATTGTAAATATATTTTAAATTTATTTGTAGATATCGTAGATTTAGCGTTTTCAAAGATATAATGGATTTCGTACTGCTATTAAAAATTGTCACGAGCATAAAAAAATTATATGGAAATTGTAAACTGCTGGAACTTTTATTTTCAGTGTTAATTATCATTAGGATATTTTTTAAATATTTGAAACACCCAAATTAGTGTTTTTATAATGACGTAACAAACAAATTTTATTTGTTAAATAGATTCTGTTAATTATCATAGTTTCAATTACATTACATTCAAATGATAAAATTACCGGAGTCTTCAATTCCTTTATTCAAACAAAACTGCTATCAATATCTATCCGTTATTAAACATTGTAATAAGCCATATTAAGTATTGAACAAAGTGCCAAATGCGTATTCTGTTCAAAAGAACTGACTGATTTTACATTATGTGAATAATAAATTAAACATTTGAATAGTTTGTTTTTATTTCACTAAAATTAAGCTACAAACCAATTATTTCTCTTGCAAGCATTTTCCTTGTTAAGTTTTAATGCAGTCCGACTTACTATAAGTGGAGTTTCTTTGCATGACAGATTCTGTTATGAGGATATTTATAGTAGAGCTAGAATAATCGACAAAGGATAAACAAACTTAAGAGGTAATGCAAAGGCAACATAGCTCACAAAACTGAATAGTAAACATTATGATTAAATTTATTTCATGTATTTTAAAACGATGTTTCCTAGTGGTATGGATCTTTTCGGTTAGAATTCCGAATGTGTTTGTATAATTTTTATGCCCATTTCATCCGCCAAGCAATTTATTGCTTCACTCATTGCTATGTTTTGGTTGTGTTTGGTTTAAACGAAAAGAAAATAAATTTAACTTATCAGAGGTGAAAATCGTTTGTGTCAACCAATAATTTGTATTTCAAATGTTTTGCTGGGGTTTGCAATAAGGATTCTTAATAAATGAAGTTTTTATAATACATTTTTTTAGAATAGGAATAATTTTATTGAATTTAGAACAAGCGAGCACACAGTCCAACTGATGGTAAGTGGATGCTGCAGCTTATAGACATCTATAAGCTGAGGACTAAGATGGAATGCCTCGTTTCCAGCAAAAAGGGTCTCTACACTCACCATTCGAAACACAGCAGCATTAAGCTGGTATTTTGCGGAGTAGTAAAAAGCTCCAGGCGCTTTGACACCTCTGAATATGGCGGCAGATATAAACAATATGCCGGCTTCTATTTAGATAACCGATTTTTAAACAAAAAGAGACTTTTTTATTTAGATTGACAAATAGTACTTGTTTCATTATAATTTTTTATTAGTGTGTAAAAGCGGACAGGTTTCAACTCACGGCATTATAAGTAGTATTAGTGAAATAATTACGTGTCAATTCAAATCATAAAAATGTTGAATTTTTACTGATGAAAACATTCACAATTACCTATAAACTCTAAGGGCTTTATTACTTACAATCTATTCCATTCCAATGTTATATTAATAGAAACAATTCAAAATTATAGTGCCAAGCTACCCTCCGATGGACATATCGATGTTTACTTCTGAGTGTCTTGAAGCAGTAAACAGTCCGCCTTGCTGCCCCGATTGCCGATTGCCCGATGATGGCTGTCAACCTTATTTTGTACCGAGGTTCGGCGTCGCCGTGAGCACACATACAAGCAATTGCGTCGTATTATCAGTTGATCACTACTACAAACCCGATTCGCTGTGTTGACAGACGGATTTTAATACATATTTATTTGTTAATAGCGTGCAATTTGGCATTTTCTAAATAATTTGCATGTGAAATTTGGAAACGATTGTAACGTCAAAACACATCTCGTTTTGACATTTATACGTGTGAATTGACGTCTTGTGGCATTTTAGTGGCTACACGGGCTCCGCCCACACCCCCGTTCTATTATGTATGTGTTATAGTATTCTATGGTTGCCGACTTTTTAAATATTCCGTCATTGACATAACACAATGCCTTGCTGAACCACCGAGACATGGTAAATCGGCACCTAAAATTTTGAATAACATGCTCAGTCGTATTACAACAGACACCTCACTTTCATCTGCGCTTCAAAGCAATTTGAGCTAATTATTGCCAAGTCCTTGGTTAACAGTTTAATTGTTATCAGTAGCAATAAGGCGTATTTATGTAAATGAAAACATAACTTCCTCGAAACACACTGCGTCGATAAGATATGATGCAGAATTATTTTACTGATATATATATTTGCATAGTATGGAACAGAAGTGCTAAAGGTTTTTTATATATCGAAGTAAGGGTGACAATAAACTGCAGCGAAACTTATCGTAATACGTCTATCCTAGTTGCGGTGTCACCCCTGAGGACCAAGATGGAATGCCTGATAACAAGTAAAATGAGTCTCATGAATAACAGTAGACAGAAAATTTCGTTATCGTCATCATAACAGCCCATGCCAAGTCAAATTTTAAGTAAATTTTATTACTTGACGTAACAGTACGTCCCACTATTACCAGGCATAGGCCTATCTATAATTTCTGTTACCGTTTTAGAGTTAGAACACATAATACAGATAACCAAGAAGTGTTTTGAACCAGCTTTTCACGGCTTCGCCCGCGTGGATTTCTAGCTGATTGCTTGTCGATATGGGCTGTTTTAAAAATTTATAAGAATTTTATAAAAATAATAAGAAATGTAATCTTTGTATTCAAATGTGTTCATTCCAATATGCGCAAATCAAACGTAATAACACAAAGCAACCAATGTCTTCACTGTGCTGTTTTCTATTTATCAAAGAAAATTATATTATTCGATCAGTATATCATATTGGTTCTATAATACAAAAAAAATTATTTTATTCGATCGATATATCAAATTATGGTATATAGAGTCTAGATAAAATAAATCGAACACCAAATAAAGTTATATATGCTGTTTGTTATTTCTCGTGTCACTGTCACAGTGAACGACAATAAAATGAAAATATAAATATGGAAAATGTATTTCGAACAAACAAGACGTTCCCGCTAAAATGTCGTTTAAATTGTGTCGTATAATTGTTAGGGATGGATTTTGTATCCATATTTATAAGGGAGGAAAAAAGAATCATCAAAATCGCTTTACGGTTGACGAAGAGCACAGTAACAAACGTGGCCCCAATGCTTACTGGTGGACTCTCTCTCTCTCTCATGTCTTCGTTTTTTTTTACATTTTAATTTCTCAGTCATTCAGGTCATTCAGACCTTGTAAATCAGCACTTATAATGAATTGCTATTAACAATTTCATTGGTACAGATGGCAATCATACCCGGGTTGCACGTGAACTATTTTGATAGTATTTTCTCAGTTTGAGAGAAATTAGAATCACTTTTGAGCAATTTTAATACAGCAAAACGGCAATTTTCCCTTATCCTTCATAGCACTTGAAATTACTAGACAACTGATACTACTATTTAATCCTTTAAGAAACTTTATTATTTTAGTTTATTAGTTAATTCGAAAAGCCTTATTAAAGACCTTACCTTTTTACTTTTTTGTTTTCGAAAGACATTACGATGGACAACATATGAAGACTTTTGGCATCCCGTAAAAGTTAGTCCCTGAAATGATTTTGGTAATCTCAATTTTGATTTTGGTAAATTAGAGTATGTAGGACTGAAAAATAGATTTTGCCATTATATCTCTTGACGTATCCGAGCTATAAATAGATTTATTTCCGTATACGTTTCTATACTATCCACGTTATTACCAGTACCATTATATGCATTATTCTCCTATTATGTAGCTTTAAAGGACCTGTAAGGCATTTCTGGAAATAAATTTAAATTGTTACTTTCAGCCGTGTTTCCCATGTAATATTATGTTTTATACTTTTAACTACTCTGGTGAAATTACCTTCTACATTTTCAGGGTGAGTAGGAATTAAAGCCAATGTAACATCATAAAAGTAATTTATCAACGTGTTGTAAACGTTTTAACTATGTACATGGAACTACTGTAATCCACAGTGTCGTTGATAATTCTGTCGAAATTACAACGCAGTCTAAGCAAACGTCTTAGGGAAAACGAACCTTTGAACATTAAAAAAAACCATTACTCTAAGACAATAATTTTCACTAGTTTCAAATTATTTAACGTATTAATAAGAACAGAATGCACAATATTTTTAAAAGTGACGTGTCTGTGTATTTTGATTTATTCTTAGTTTATATTTTCATACATTTATGTAAGTATAAAAGTATATAATGTGTAAAATAGAAATAGAATTAATGTAGGTATTTAAATTATTTTAAATGTTTCTCGTTATATCATTTAACCGAATTTCAAACCAGTTTATACTTATTAAATAAATTTAATTTGAAGAAAAGAAAAAACAAAAGCAAGAACAAAAAACTCTGTACAATTGATCTGCAATTGGCTTAAAAATATCCAATACTACATATAACTAGTAAATGGTGTCACCATTTTATACCATTTTATACTAGTTATAGAATTAGATATTTTTAAATACAAATTACAGAGAATTGTATTAGTTTTTTTCCATATTTTAGATTTAGATAATATGTTTATTAGAATAATTTAATTCTTCTTTCTTTCTTTCTTTTAGTTATTCTAAATTATGAAAAGAGCACAATATGCAACAGCTACTTTAATAATTATCGCATTTTCATCACAAAACGAAAAAAAAAAAAATTACATCGCAAAACGATTAGGTGTTTAGGATATTGATTGAACTATTTGGGAGTTAGGTATAATTTAAATAAGTTATTCTGTATTAAGGGTTTAGGAAACTAATATTAATAAATTATAAGCGAACGTAAAAAATAAAAGCGTTTTGTGCCATTCCTCAAGGAATGCCAAAAAAGTTCCAAGTCGCTTGCATCGACTTGCTGTAAATCTTAACAGGTCGTCACTTCGTCTAGTGGGTAACACCCTGCACTTAGCTTACCAGTACGTGGCTGCCACTCGTGAATTTCTATTCTTATACAGTGGATGTGCTCATTTCGAATTTTATCACGCAAAGAAACTCCGAGCTAAAGCCTCTCCAGAGCTCACTAGCAACCTTTACCTTCTTTACACGGCCTTCTGGTTTAAGTTTTGTTGAATACGTGACGAGAAGACGACAAGAAGAGACGGATCACTCGATTGATTTCATCAAAGTTGGACTTACCTAGTCGATTTTTTTTTATAGTAGATGGGGCAAACAAGCATACGGCTCACCTGATGTTAAGTGATTACCGTCACCCATGAACAACTGCAACACCAAGGGAATTGCAGATGCATTTAAAAAAGGAGTAGGCTCTTTTCTTGAAGATCCGTACGATTTATCGGTACATAAAAATCTCTGGTGGTAGTCGATTCCATAAGGAAGTTGTCCGAGGAAGAAAACTTCTTTTAAATCGCACAGTGGTAGACCGCCAGTCATCCAGATGGTGTGGATGGTATCACAAGTTTTTTCGTGATGTGCGATGGTGAAATTGTGCGGCTAGAATTAGTCCGAACAATTTCTCAGAGCATTCCATGGAGTAAATGCGATAAAATACCCAAAGAGGTGCAACATCGATCGACGAGCTCGGTCGCCGACAATTCGAACAGCTTCTTAGCCGGATGCGATCAAATGGAAGGAGCTTGCACTGCGGAGCCCCAGCCCAGAGATGGGAACAGTATTCCATGTGCAGCCGAACCTGCGCCTTGTAAAGTCGCGGGCGGTGTGCCGGCACGAAATACTGTCCCGCTTTGCTGAGCACGCCAAGTTTTTAGAGGCCAATGTGGCCTTTTCTTCCAAGTGACCACGAAACTGCAGATTACTCGATATATCGACGCTGAAGATTCCGATACTGATTCAGGCAACAAGGGGAGTGCCTTGAAACTGAGTAGATATGACAAAGGGGTTCTCTTTAGCGGTATACGTGCAACGTTGTGTCTTCTGGAGATTGAATTGGACTAGATTTAGTTGCCCCCAGTCCAAAACTATGTTCCAACAAAGTCTCGACTTCTAACACAAGTTTGTACAGGTACTCGGCTGCAGTTTGTGCAGCTACTCAGATGTTGTCCCGAGAAATATTGGCATGGTCGGTGTATAAAGCATCACCAGCGCTGTCTTCAGAATAGCAATGAATGTTACCGGTTTGCAACATATCATTGATATGCAGAAAAAACGACGTTGGTGATAGCATGCAGCCTTGTGGAACACCAGTGTTAATGGGCTTGTAATCGGAGCATGCAACGTTTACTACTCTCACCAGTTGATCGACCACGACCAAAACCGTATTAGCGGTCCCTAATCAGCTGATGATCTTCAAGGTACCTATTATAAATTAACTCAAATAAAGAGTTAGTAACCCAGAAGATCAACAGCAGAGTGACAGCGACGGAAACTTTACCAGCGGTCACTAATCAGCTGGTGATCCTCAAGGTACCGCATGAGCTGGCGATTAATAATGGACTCTATTATTTTAGAACACAAGGAGGTGATGGCGATAGATCTATAGTTAGACGGATCAGAGAGGTTACCTTTTTTAGGGATCGGGTGCACGAAAGCTGTCTTCCGTTATTTCGGGACTACGCCTAGGGATTAGGAGTACCGAAAAAGACACGTTAAAACTGGTGCCAACTCTGGAGCACACGTATTCAGCACAACAGGAGGGATGCTATCAGGTCCACTTGACTTATTGACTTTTCACCCTGGACGTGTTGGGGGGACGTGTTGTATCATGGAGTCTGCAGCTATTTGGATGTGGTCGATGAGTCAGTCTGTGTCGGTATTGCCGCCATTTTATGACGCGCAGTCATAAAATGTACAGGTCCGTACCTTCAAGGCTGCCGAGGCGTCGAAAACACATGTTCTCTCTGACATAAACGTAAACGGATGGCGTAGCGTTTGAATTATTGCTCCGTTTGCCCCGAGCACCCATGCTCAGGAAGAGTAGGGTAGCTTAGACGTGGATTCTCCGTCCGGTCCGTCCGGGGGGAAATCAGGCCTCCGGCCAACTGCACTCACCAGACGAAATGCAAAAGCAGAGCTTCTACTTCACGCTGGTCTTCTGTGAGGTCATGGTACCACCCAGGTTCGAGCTACCACTCGCCGCCGCGGCACTGTAAATTTTTTTTAGGTTAATAACCCTCGCCAACAATTTCGAGCGCTCCCACAACAACTATCCGCATAGGTGTGACATAGACGTTACACGAAAATTTTGTCTTGTCCATGTTCGTTTTAAGACATATCCTTTGAAAGACAGTATTGAGGTTATTGAGTATGATGCTAAGGTACTTTTTTTGTAGAATACAGATGCGAACTAGCACACAGTACACCTGATGGTAAGTGGATGCGTTGTCACCCCTGAGGACTAAGATTGTGTAACTCGGTTCTCTACATTCGTCATACACAACAGCATTAAGCTGCTATTTCACGCTGGTATTTTGTGTGAGCGTGATTCTTCCCTGGTCGAGCCGAGCCATTCGTGCTACAACCATAATGTAATTGCAGCAAGGCTCTACCACGTTTAAAAATGTATAACTAGCAATAAAAAAAATATACCAAAAAATTTAACTAGGTGTGTCTACGACTTCGGTCGCATAGAATCTCTGTCAGTAATTTATTTGTTTTAAACTTTAATTAATTTGGCTATAATTTAATATATCAAAAACAAAAATAATCTTCTAGATATTTAATACTTATAAGAAATAATTTCATCATATAATCAATCAAGTGCATGAATGACTTAATACTAGCTGGTACCCGGCGCAATGCTGCCGCAGATTAAATGATTGTGGAAATATCGTTTTAAATTTGGAAGGGTTATATTGTTTAATTAGGAATGATAATATATTCATTGAAGTTAATTGATACGTAACTTTTAAATAAATTTGTCAGTAATATACGCGCTACTGTAAGTTATTTGAACTATACCTATAATTTTCGCGCAAGTGTAAGCAATGATTTGACGAAGTTTTCCGCAATCTCATGAACGGTATTGCAGCGCATAAAATATAAATAAACAAATTTTAATTTTTATATATTAGATAATACTAAATAATATAAAAATACAACAAGTGTAAGAGGCCAGTGTCTTGAAATAGACTGTTACGGGTTGATGATGATGAATAAGAGTAATAGATAATAATACTTTTTACAATTTTAAAGCGTAATTGTGGTAGAACATCTTAATTTTTGCCCTTCAATTGTAATTAAAAAAGTGTTAAAGACTTTAAATTACATTATAAAACTACATAACATAATACAGTTTACATTTGTTTTATTTATATTAATTATTGCACCCATGATTTATAAAAAGGTCGGCGGCAATTCCGAAAATATATTTATAGGAAAGAAAAATACAACCCGCCATTTTGCATTACATTTAAACTACACCATCTGTAAACTATTGTACTTTTTCTAACTAAAATGTTATTAATTAATGTTAATCTATATGCGAAAATGTGTTCTTTTTTGTTTATTGTGTATTGCGATGTATTAGGATATTATTTTACAACATTTAATTACGATTTGTGAGATTAGCTTAAAATGAACTTAATGACTCAACATTGAATAGTTTCGTACATAAATTTTAAAATAGTTATCAAAACAAAGACTAAATATTACTCGAACATACACTTTATGTTATTCTTAACGAATCTTTTGAAAAAAAAATATTACTTTAAGCGTGACACGTTCATAAACAAACAGATAATTCTAAAAATGACAGAAATGTATTTAATTACTTATTTTAGTACGTCTCAGTTATTTTTGTCACAAAATTATACAAAGTGTGGACACCTGCAATTTACATTTTATTATAAGGTAATATATAATTATTATATTCATATTTATTTATTTTCACTTGAACGTTCCACACTGTAGGTTTGTCTCATGTATTGCTATTGTGAATGCGGTTTACATAAGGACACAAATATACAGACACGGAACAGTTAAACACTTATCTGTACGGGTTCGAACCCGTGTCACTTTAATTTTAAATATTTTTGATATTTTTTTAATCCCTCAGACATGCAGGTTTACTCACAATGTTTTCCTTCACAACCAAGCACGTTGTGAAAAAAAGAAAATCATCACCTAAAATTGCAATTAACAATTTTATTGGTGCCGGCGGGTATCGAACCCCGGTTGCTAACGTACTGTGAAATTTACAGCGAGCACTAAGCCCCAGAGATACCACGGCTCTTGTTACAAATAATTTAATAATGGAAAATGAAAAGGGAATAACGAATTGTTCGAGTTGTTGATAATCTTGTACTCAACCAATTTTTCAATTCGATTGTTTAACTATTGTGTCTATAGGTACTTATCGCGGACAATGAAACTGTATGAAATTATTTTACTTTTTGCTATTATATTTCATTTAATGCTTCAAGTATTTCAGAAACGTATCTAGTAGTTATTTTACAGGTTTAAAATTTATTATTATTTACAGCTGTGTGTTCATCAATTGATGATGGGAACTGCATTGCTCCTCCACTGGAATGTCCTAATAAAAATATAACATTCTGGTTATATACAAGGTAAAAGATATTATTAAACATTTTCATCAAATCAAGTCATTGTCTTTCTCACTCATATTTAATATTTATGAGCCTACTGTAGTTCACTCCTGAAGGTGCTACTTAGCTCGATATTCGGCGTCACGTTGTAATTTTTGCGCGGGACGCTGCTCCATCTAGTCAGGTGGCAAATTTAATATTCTACCATACGTTCTACGGCCTATTTCCAATCCAGCTTAGGACGGGAAATCATATATCAGCGGAATTTCAACCCCGTGCCTCGTAAAAGTACGTAACGCCATTTGTACTGTACCTGATCTCTGTCCGTTTTTTTTATAGAATAAGGGTGACAAGGGAGAACACAGTCCACGTAATGATAAGTGGTTGCTGTGGTCCATAAACATCTACATCTATCCTTGATTACCAATTAAAATGCAGGTGCATTGTCACCCGTGAGGATTAAGATGGAATGTGCCTCGTTTCCAATAAAAAGGGTCTCCGGTTCTCTACACTCACCATACGAAACACTGCAGTATATAGCTGCTATTTTACGCTGGTATTCTGTGAAAGCATGGTGCTTCCCCGGTCGAATCGACCCATTCGTGCTACAACTATAACTTAGCTGCATCATAGCTCTACCACGTAAAGGTCGTGTCTGATTACCGTCCTATCGGACTATGAGAGTGAGGGAACAGAAAGTGCACTTTGTGCTCGCATATACACTCGTGCGCTACATCCTTTCCTGCGCAGATGGCAGAAGGCAGAATCTCCGTTGAGACTGGTCGCCAAGACAGAAGTTTCGTTTGGATGACATTATTAGCCAATTTTTTACGCAAGAAATTATAAAAAAATTAATATTTTTTTATACTCACTATAATATCGATTCAGGGTATCGAATTTATCCGCGTTAAAGCTAAGCTGCAGATTTATATCCGGCTGCAACACAAATGAGTGGCTTGAATGGAGAATGACCACGCTCGCTTTAGAATACCAGCGTGAAATAGCAGCATAATGCTGCTGTATCGTATGGTGGGTGACGTGAACCGGATACATTTTTACTGGTAAAGAGGCTTTCCATTTTAATCTTCAGAGGTAAAAACGTTGCATTTTGATTTTTAATTGAAAATTGATGGAAATGTCTATGGGCCACAGCATCCACTTATAATCAGGCAGACTGTGTGCTTGGTTGTCACCCTTACTTCTTTAAAAATATCTTACAGCGTTAAAAGAAGTATTTTAATATGATTTTGAGGTTCCTTATTCCAGTTTTAGTTCATCATCATTTTCATACGTTAATGTCTTGATCAAAAATCGTAAGTCTCAACCATAGATCACTCGCTAAATGAGCGCATGTACATTAGTTGTTAAGCTTGGCAGGCGCTTGCATAATAATTTACACATAAAATATACTTCACTCATAATTTTATATTGTATTTTTGTAGCGACAGAAGCCTAATAGTTCAAAGTGCGGAGCGCGTAAGGCTACACTAGTCTGTCATTTTTTCCATACATCCTCTACCGTTTGATGATGTACGTTAAAAACTAAGCATGCTATCTATTTATCTCATCACTATTCGGACTTGTACGTAAATGAACTGTAAACTGTAATTATCTGAATGTTGCAAAGAAAAAAAAATCACTCATACTTTCAAAAAAAGAAAAATATTTTTAACGCAGCTTTGAGCGTAAATAACATAGTAGGTATATAGTTTAAAACATGATATTTTTATTTATTTATTCAAAATTTCACCCTTGCTCTAAAAGTTAATTTATAAATTATTCTTCGCTCGTTTTAAGTATATATCTTCGCTCTTCATACTTTTTACTAACAAATAATTTACGATGGGATGAGAGTGTGCACTAGATTCTTATTGATCTTTCATGAGTTTATTGCTTTCTCAAACAACGCGAACTAAGACATAATGCGTCATTAACAATTATATGATATGAAATGCCTGGATAAAGTATGAAGGAAATATCAGTCTGATAAGTTTTACAAAGAACATTATCATAAAATACTTATTAAACATGTAACTGTTTCACTTAATTTGTAAACGTAACACATGTATAATACATAATACAGTAACCAGCTCTCTATACAGAAATAAATTGTTACAAAATAAGCAGTGTTGAAAATAGTAACGCGTATTCACAGATTAATATATACCCGTTTACGTAGTAAAGACGTTACACGGGTACGTTACTACGGTAGTTGTAGCTACCGTGGACTAACGTAGCCCTAAGTCACGACTTCGAATTCGCCATTCAACTACCGTCGTATACGTTAAACACTTCTAATAAAAGCATTTTAAAGTTAATTAAAGTGGTTAGCTGGAATATTAGTAATGTTAGCATTGTTATGTGTATAAAACAATGATATTATATGTTTGTTATACAATTTTTCTTAAAACAATTTGATACTTTACAGGGCGAACCGAGACAAACCTCATGAATTAAAATTCTCTGAACCAAAATCTATTGATATGGCCCCATGGGTTCCTAATGCACCAATCAAAATCATCATTCATGGCTATACGGGTGACAGAAATTACTCGCCAAACAAGGAAATTCGACCAGGTTAGCATAAAAGTAACGTGTTTCCCTAAAAAAAGGACCCGCATTGTTAGTAAGACAAAAGACATCATAGACACGTGTTAGTAATACGTAAGTAAGGTAAACTGTTTCAACTGTTGCGTAAAATGTTTTGGAAACTTACCTAATACAGGAAAGTTGTCAAATTATCTACTAACGAGATATCGCTAATAGGTAATTCGACTGTTAAGATTTTAGGTTCAAAAATAATGGCGAATTTAACATATAATTATCAAAGCGTGTTTAAGTTCTAAATGTGACTGTCTTCTTGTTTTTGATACATTTGATACGTTTGTCATTTAATATTAGTATAATTAAGGCCGCAGTAGCTCAGGGACTCTTTCTGTTCCCGTTAAATTTAATTTATTTAAACTTTTATGCACAAAAAGTAAAATTGTACATATGGCATACTTAAAGCATTCTCTCTCAGTCGACCATTAGGCTAAACAGAGATAAACGTATAGGAAGTAGTGCATCAAAAATAAACTAATAATGAAAATAATGTTTACGAAGTTTGGATGAACCAGAGTATATATAAGGTATTTTTACACATATATCATACAAATGTTCATATAATATAAAAATATTAATACAGAAGTACACACACATATATATATTTGTGTATATGTATCTATTTATAGCATGATATATAAGGAAAATATGTGACGATAGAATCATTGTTCAGGAAAAAGTGTTAATTCACACTTGCAATGCTTTGCTAAATTTTTCACGAACTTTATTTTTGAAAAGGAACTTGTTGGCAGCTTTTTAATGTCAAAAAGTATTTCGTTCCAGAGTCTTATAGCCGTAAGAGCGAAAGAGTAGAACATATAACCAGTACGGTGAAAAGGCGTTAGAAACTTTAGATTATCCGAAGAACGTCGAAAACAATTACGAGAATCTCCTAGGTACTGAATTTTAGATTTCAAATACTGAGGAGCACAACTATCGTTCAGAATAGTGAAAAGAGTGCAGAGTAATCTAACATATCTGCACTGACGGATAGGCAGCCAGTGAAACTGATTACGAAAATAAGACATATGGTCATATTTACGAAGACCATAAATGTAATGACAGGTTTTGAGGAGACAATTCAATGTCTTAAGATGCTGTTGAGATAAGTCTGTGCACCATACATCGACATAGTTTATTATCGGCAGAATAAGAGATTGATAATTTTGTAGCGGTCAGAAGAAAAATTTTCAGGTGATAAAGAGATTGCAATGTTGCAATAACTTTGCGGCTTGCCTCCTGGATCTGCTTGTTCCATAAAAGACAGCTATCGATGTACAGACCGAGATACTTCACATGTGGGAGTATGGAATAGTATTGTAGTTGTACGAAATGAACGGCAAAGTGGTGATATCTAATTTGTCCCTTGACATTTAGAAGGATTCGCGTTAATTCCAAATACAGTGAACCATTCAAAAATATAATTTAAATCTTCGTTTTGTAACGCCAAATTATTAATATTAGTTGTAGATCATTGGCATACAGATGATTAGAGCACTTGAGACTTAATGTGATAAGATTAATAAAAATTGAAACAGAAGAGGAGAGAGAATACCGCCTTTAGGAACACCGCTTAATACATCACTGAAATTCGAAACGTTGTGGCTAGAACGCCCGGCCTGTTGGCGCCCTTAATAATATGATGCGAACCAATCCTGGGCTGAAGACGAGATATTCAGGTGAGAGAGTAGAGCTAGCATGATAAAGTGGTCGACAGTGTTAAAAGCGTTAGAAAAATCTATGAAAATAAACACTGTTAATTTTTAATTTGCCATACATTTTTGAATATCTTTCAGTAATCTTGAGAAAGGCGGTAGTTGTGCTAATCCCAGGGGAAATCCAGATTGATATAAGGAAAAAATTGTTTTCGAAAATAAAATTAAAAAATTTGATTATGGGCAATATCTTCTAAAACTTTAGATATATATATGGCAGGATAGAAATTGGTCTAAAATGAGAGAGAAGGCCGCACTCAGTGGATTTTGGAAGAGAAACGACAAAGATTTTACGCTACAGTGTTGAGAAGGCACCATACTTCAACAAAAAGTTAATGATGTGAGTTAATACAGGCAAAACAGAATCAATTACGTATATAAATTGTTTTACTCACATCATCACAGCCAACAGCTTTAGATTTGACAAGTGTTTTACGTATCTCGTCTTCATTAACAGGAGAAAAAGTGAAAGAGCCATGAATATAAAGAGAGAAATTCTAGCAAATGTTATTTCATCCATATGTTTCTATCATAGAAGATATGAATGAAATAGCATTTGCTAGAACTATTAGAAATAGTTTGATCAGAAAAAAATGACTATTGTAATCGTCAGGAGAAAAAGAGACGCTATTAGGGGCATGGTGTGTTTTCCCATATCCATGAGTATCAAGAAAATTCTATATATTCGCTGAAGATGAATAAAGCACTTATTCATGTGTATAATGGCGTTTAGCAGCTCTCATCATCTGATTGCATCGATTTCTTGCAACTTTATATGTTTTTCAATTTCTCAGTATGCGAACAACACGAGTTTAATTCTCGCCGACACCAATGAAATTGTTAATTGCAATTTTAAGTACATACTAGTTTAACACGTGCTGGGTGGTGAAGTAAAACGCCGTTAGAAGACCCGCATGTCGGAGCATTAAAATATGTCAGGAACGTGTGAAGTCCTGCAATACGCATTGGACTTATTAATCCATAATCCTTGCAGAAATCAGGGAATCCTGTGCCTGATTGTGGGACGTATATGGCTGTATTGTGGCGGTGTCCTAGAATTCATCACAAGAAAAATCTCCATATCTTCAAGAACATCAACATTAAAAAGAAGGTTACAACCTTCTTGTTAATGTCAGATGTAAAGAATCAAAACCGGCAATCGGAAGCAGTGTCAAAGATTCAAGAAGTATAATACTGTGATCACTAGTCTGCCTGAAAACTCTGGCGACTAAGCCAAGTCCTTCCTCCACATGGGAGGCTCATTTCCTGAAGTTTGTTTTACGTGGTAGGAAGAATTAAAAGGAAAGTTGTATAATATATGATGATATATCAGCGATTCACCCCGGCTTCGCAGGGGTGATTTATGGATCTCGACCACTGCGCCACTTATCAGATCCAACTTTAGCTAGAACCATAAAGGTGTAACTACTTTCATCATTAATTTCCGTGAAGCCGTATAGCAGGAGAAGAATTACGAACGCTCGCCGGAATATTATATATTATAGAGATATAACATATGTGATAGATAATATGTTTAAATTTTTGAACCTTTTGCAATTTGCATCCAAAGAAGACAACAAAATAAATCATAATATTTTTAGTCAATAAAGATTGTACTCGTACAAAATACTTATTACTTAACGCTGCACTGTTTCGCACAACGTCGTGTGCTGGAAAATCCACGACAAATTAAGTAAGATACTTTTATAGTAACGTGTTTTAAAATGAAATCATAAGCTATTGAATAAAAAGTATTTTTCTTCTTTTTATTCAATAGTTTATGTTATTGTATTGTTTAAATAAATAAAACATTCTGCGTCGTTGACACTTTCTAGATCGGTGTCTTTTCTGGTTAGAAATCTGACTAGGCATTTTATTTACTTGTTTATTATCATCATCAACATTGCTACAGACCACTGTCACAAGTCTTCGTTTGTGTAGTATGAACTAAGTGCGAGGTAAAGTAAACTAAAGTACACAAAAAATAGTACAAATCATAAAAAAATCAAAATAGAAATAAAGTTCATTTTTACAACAACACGTAAATTACGACTGCAGTAATGTAGCTAATATAAAATAAATTTTATTAATAATATACATACAGCCTATACACTTACCACCTGCTAGAATATATGCTAGCTTTCCCACCTTTACTGCTATGAAAATATTTAATTATATTGCTTATGCGACCTATGAAATGAGGGAAGAAAGGTAATGTTTACGTGTAACCCTTGAAACCCCCATTATAACTCCTGGGTAGTCGATTAGAGTCGTTAGTATTTGAAAGTGAATGCTTCCATCAAAACCAGAGAACACTTTTACTTTACCCACTGTGAAGTATGCTTTATTTTTGTTATTTTCTTACAAATTTCAGCGTATTTAGAATGCTGTGATTATAATATTATCGCAGTGGATTACAATCCTATTGCACGAGAACCATGTTATGTGGAAGCCGCTTTTAATACTGAATTAATTGGGAAATGTTCTGCTCAATTAATTGATGAGATAGTCTTCAACCACGGTATTGACCTGTCCAGGATTCACGTCATAGGCTTCAGTCTCGGAGCCCACATCGGTGGATTTATAGCCAGTAACATCAAATCTGGAAGATTAGAGCGGCTTACGGGTAGGTCTATTTTAAATATAATTAGGTACAATATAGACTTTATCTGCGTTGAAAATATCGAAAAAGCCACTTCACTTACTATTTTTGGTGATTGAATAATAAGATTGTCATATTATTTCCCCTGTAAACTGTTACGGTATCTTCCTCAAAGTTAGGAGAGCTCGATATCTGTATCCTTATTGTTACAAATTATTATTTAGTCATGATTACAGAGTATCAAAAAACTTTAGGTTTAGTCAATATTCTGTCTTGTAATATTAGCAAAACGAAAGCAGAAAAATCGAACTATATACATTCCACCATGTAGCACAGGTTTCCTGATTGTTGAGAAGATATAAGCGGGAACAGTCTGCTGGACTGGTCTCGTCTAATAGTGTATAACATGCTGATACTCGTATCCTCGTGACATCACCGCTAGCACATGGTAAATCAGCACTCCAAAACTGTTTAAGACCGTATCAACTGTACCGACGAAAAAAATAACTCAAATTCTTCTTGCATTTTCATAATTATTTTTTTTATATAATTGAATATTGGATAATATTAATGTCTGAATCAAAATATTATGATGAAAATTTTAAAATGTTAGTAAAGTTTTTTCATTTAGGCTTATTGGTTATATTTTTATATTACTTTTTAGGGCTGGATCCAGCGTTACCATTTTTTGCAACGGTTAATGTTACGAGAAAAATAGACCCAAGTGATGGGAAATTAGTCGACATTCTTCATACAAATGCATTACAGAAGGGTAAACTTGAAATAAGTGGGCACGTTGATTTCTTTGCAAATGGTGGTATGACGCAACCTGGATGCAAAGCCGACGCTGACCTTAGTAAGTGAGAAAGATTATGTACTAACTGTGCGGTTAAAGAATGGGATTGAAAATGGCGTCGTTTTTATTCACCTCTCACGCACACTGTAGCTATCTGTCCTCACACGCGCCGGTGAAGACTACAAAAAAAGCTTTGCGATATGGGTTTTTGGTCCGTTATATAACTTCAGTCCAACTTGGCATTTGAATCAATGACAACAAATTCCCATGTACTACAAACAAATTCAAACCGATTTTGCTAACTTATGAGCTATATTTGTAAAATAAACTGTCTTTAATGATTATCTTAAGCCTAAATAATGTCACATTAGTAGATCCGACTCAAGAAAACCCACAGCGGGTCGCTAGTTATAAATGTTACTTTAAAATTAATGTACCTACTTGAATATACAAATATTTTCAAATATTTTCCCATTAATAGAAAAATTCCAATTAACCGAATAATATAACGTTATTAGGATATACCGTTATTAGCGGGTTTTCGCTATTGGTATTGTGCATGTTGAAGGTACAGGCTCGATGAGCTACCATTTCTAATCTCATTCTTTATCCATACAGACCTTACATCATATAATTATGATATAATTATGAAGAATATGATAGATAATATATCTTGAATTTCTCATTATATTTTAATCTTACCTAAAGTCATATATTAACTCTAATTGACGGCTCCGTGGTGCGATGGCTTAGCTTAGGAGTTGTCGCGCTGAGGGCCACAGCTTCTAATCGGATCAAGTATTTGTATGGGATACAAATAATTGTTCCGGGTCTGGATGTTTGTTCTTGAGATACTTAACTAAACTAAATAAACCCACGATACCTAAGCAAACCGTAGTGTAGAGGTAACGTATTTTACGTAAGAAGAAAAATAAAAGAAACAGACATCAATCATTATTCTGCGGTCAATTATATGTATTTGTGGGTTAGATAATGATTTCTTATATTTACGCGAACACTATACATGATTAAAACTACTTTTACGGATTTTATCGCGTTTATTTTTACTTTTATTTTTTTTTAATTCCCGGCGTTTCGGGCGCTTTCCAGCACCCATGGTCACGGGGGACTGAGATGACTGACGTCCCGATGTCATTGTTAAAGGAAGGTACTCACGGGTTTAACCATGACATCGGGACGTCAGTCATCTCAGTCCCCCGTGACCATGGGTGCTGGAAAGCGGCCGAAACGTCGGGAATTAAAAATAAAAGTAAGTAAAAAGTAAAAATAAACGCGATAAAATCCGTGAAAGTAGTTTTAATCATGTATTTGTGGGTTTTTAATGTTCCAGTAGGTTTATAGAACATTTAAAACAAATGTTCAGATATTATTTCAGAATCATCATCAAAAGTCCACTGCTGAAAATAAGCCTCACCATAAGATGCCTCGTGGGGGGGCACTAGCCATAATTGCCACACTCGGCAGGCGAGTTAGCAACAATAAGTTTATAATATTTTGATTTGTTATCCCGCTCTCTGTCGCATCTCACGAGAACCATGACATGATATAGAACAGTGGATTCCTCACGTCGCCACTACATGATGGATATACAAACCGACAAACAACCTATTTTTTTAATTACTTATCTATGAAATTGGCCATTCATTAGGAGGGGCCTATGTATGGTGATTTATGATATTCATTCCTATTATAGCAAAATCGGGTTGTGAACACGCAAGAGCTCCAGCGTACTTCGCAGAGTCAATAACTACGCAAGTGGGTTTTTATGGAACTAAATGTTACTCATGGATAGCCTATATATTAGGATGGTGTGACATAGTCGGCTCCGATGAAGATGTTTTATTTGGCGAGTACATGCCTAAAAAGTAAGTTTAATATGAATTAACAGTTTCTGCATAAACGAGTAGATATACAGCTACCTGTTAGTCACATGGGCGTGTAAAATTAGTGTTTGGAAAATATGTTAACCGTATTTATACGCGAAGGTATCGCGTAATATGTTTATCTATTTTATTAATACGAGGGCGGCACTGAAAATTTCGGGAATCAAGGAAGTGTCACAACATTACTATTTAAAAATGTATTTATTGTTATTCGAAGTATTCTCCGCGAAATTTGACACATTTTTCCATACGATGGAACTAATCATTGAAGCAACCATTCCATTCGGAAGTTGGGGTCTCCAAAATGGCCGTTTTGTAGGCGTCCACAGCTTCTTCAGGTGATGAAAATCTCTGTCCACGCAATTTATTCTTTATTTTAGGGAAAGTATAGAAATCATTAGGGCTTAGGTCGAGGCTGTACGGCGGATGGTCTAATAATTCTATGTTTTCTTGCTCTAAAAACTCTTTTGTTCTTTGTGCCGTGTGAGAACTCCCATTGTCGTGATGGAGGATGATGCGGCGGTTGCAGTTCTCTTTACGGAGTTCAGAAACGACCTGTGGCAAACAAGTGATAGCATACCATTCTGCATTAACCGTTCTTTGTCCCTCAAGAGGAATAGTCGTAACATGGCTGGTTTTGGAGACAAACGTGGCCACCATTTTTTTTGCAACACTCCGTGAACGAACAATTTTTGTTGGCTTTAACTCATTTTCGAACACCCAAACTCGTGACTGGTTTTTTATTTCGGGTTCGTACTCCTATATCCAGGATTCGTCACCTGATACGATATTGTATACAGCATTTGAGGATCCTGCGTGGAATCTTTCGAGAGTTCTGACGCACCAAGTAACGCGAGCCGCTTTTTTGCTCTTCACTTTTTTACACCTAATTGTCCATGCAAGATTATTTGTATTTGATTCATGCCAATGTCTAAAGTTGCCTAAATTTCGCGGTATGTCACATGTCGATCTTCCTCAATCAGCTTACGAACAGCATCAACGTTTTCTTGGGTGACTGCAGTTTTTGGACGATCTTGACGGGGATCATCACTGAGCTTGACACGTCCACGTTGAAATTCAGCACACAACCAGCGATAAATTGTGGTTTTGGATGGGGCTTCATCACCAAATGCAGAAATCATCCGGTCAACACACTGTTTTTGTGTTAAACCACTTCGGAGGTCATAATAAATCATCGCTCTTGAATTTTCTCGAGTCAATTCCATTTTCTCAACGACTAAACAAGTTTGACAAAACCTTGTGACAAGACCGAGAATCTTTTTTTAAATAAATAAATGGTATTCGATTTTTAAAACCAAGGAGTTTTCAATTAAAAAGATTTTAATATGACAGGAACAGTGGAAATATTCCATTCCCGATACTTTTAGTGCAGCCTAGGCATGTATGTGTGTAAGACATCTTTCAATATAATTTAGCGCAATCATTAAACTTGACAAAATGGGAGTCTAACAGTAAAGTCTGATATAGAGAAAATAAGAAGAGATTTTGTGGGGAAAACAAATTTGCAGTTCACCAAATGGTACATGGCCACTGTAGCGAAAGTGCATTTCTGTCCTTTTATACTGCTTATTCATGCACTAGTTTGTTCAAAACTTATTTTTCTATTATAGGAAAAGAACGGTCGATAACTTAACAATAAATGTACCGCTTTTACTTTTTAAATAAAGGCAAATAGATGTACAAAGTGAAAAAGTAATTTGTAAAACAAACTTCGAGACCCGAGCAAGACAATTATTGTAGTATGAGTGCATAGAACTGGAAATAAAAGGTGCCTTTACCTAGCAGTGAATTATTTATGTAGTGGTGATTTAAGAATAACCACTAGGCACCCCATATGTATACGTGGTGTCATACATACGTATAATACGTACGTATTATACGTACGTGGGTTTCATAAGGGGCGACAGAGGGTAACAAATCAGGAAGTGGGCAGCATTGTCTTCCTTCAGCCCACCCTCTTGCCAAGCATGGCAAATATGGTAAATATGGCAAATATCTCTCTGTGAGGCAATCTATGGAGGAGGCCTATCTTCAGCAGTGAAATTTAATATGCTGTATGGTAACGATAACGCAACTACCTCACGCTGATATATATTACGTTATATCGCATTTAAGATCATTTTTGCTGTTTCGAGAATTTTTTTATTTTACGGCAAGTTTATTATTAAATTTTATATGGTATTAATCGTATAAAATTAAGGGTTTAAATTATTTGTAATGATATTCTCTACACATTTCCTATGCGCTAGAATTCAATGCCAAAGATAAGATAAATATTTACGACTGACGCTTCCACATCCGACCTTAACGAGGTCAGTGCTTATTCCGTATTTCAGTTCCGTTCTTTATATTTGTTTATAAAACATATAAGTAACATTATTAATATATATCATAGATGTAGATTAATCGTATAAAATTACTAGCAATCATAGTATTTTTAATAAAATAACTTTTTGTTGCTTTGTCCCATCTTTTTTCCTTTAACTTCATCAGATATAATCATTTTTATCTGCTTACACTGAAACAGACTATTGTTGCTTCAAGGTCGCTTTATTAGTAAAATGTTGCCTCTGTTAAATTTAAATGCGGTGATCGATGTATGAGAAGTTTCATAACTGTGACGCTGTTTCCGTCACTGAACTGGGTGGCATACAACCATCTGTTAGACGTTACAAAGTCTATGAGACATTTGTTCAATTATATATAACTTTTTAACATTCCTATTTCCTAGTGAATTTCCGATAGTACATATGAGATTTAGCTATGGTGAAACAGCTAGGATATCATCATATGAAAAACAAAGAATTTAATATATAATGTTTGCCTAATCAATAGTAAAATTACAATGTAAATCTCTCAACGACTGATCAGTCGTTACATGATTCGTTCAAGCGAACCAGTATCGATTCCTTATACCCCGCGTATTATATGTCCAAGCGCAAGTACCGAAACACTTCCATACTTTCTCTCTTTTTTATTTTAATTTTGTCACGTTTCCTTTGACGAAAACTGTACACAATGGTCAACGTAACAAAAATCTTATTTCGAATATTCGACTCGTTTCGTCGATATCCTGGAACTATCATTCGTGGAATGGACACGAATTATTTGTTTACAAGATAGTGTATTTTCTGATGCATCACTTAAATCAACGACGGTATCGCAAACTAAGCACAAAGATGGATACGAATAAGCTAGAATTAGGATGATGGAATGCAATCTCGTGAGATTTTCATCAAGTCGAGATCTCACGACACCAATAATGACAATCTCGCAATCAACGTGATCTCGTGGGATTGAGACATTATTTTAAGGTTTCCTTAGATTCCAGCTAGCAATAAAATTATAATTACGATTTAAGTAACGTTTTATTATTTTGTTAATATTCAAACGAGCTTATATACTAATAGTAACAAACAAATGATCTTTCAAATGGGCTTTGGCAGCAGTCATTTTAATAAAAAAGTTTTTGAAAATTGGGAACAAAAACAGGGTTTAGCTAATAAAAATATATTAATAGGTTATTAATATTAATCTCTATAAGAGGCTAATGTCCAAAGAGGACTTTTAAAGATTAATAAAAAAATAAGAGGAAGGTTATTGTAGGTATCTATTATTTTTATATTTGTTTTGAAAGCCATTTGTTTGTAACTATACTTTATACAAAAGTTTAGTCATAGTCGCTATTTTTTATTATTCTAAGTTATTATTAATATATACAACTCCTGTTTCTTTTCCCTCTATCGTCTCTTAGTTCAACCACGGGATGATATGGGGTACTTAGTTGTCAAATCGTGTGTATAGTTTTAGAGATCTCGTGATGAGTTAGTCAGTCGGTGGTACTTAGCCATATATATATATATATATATATATATATATATATATATATATATATATATATATATAATCTGCATATTCAACATGCTTAAAAGGTCTAACTTACTTGTTTTTTATAGAATATGTTGATAAATACATATGATGGAATATGTAAACAAATGAATATATAGTTAAGGTAAAGAATATAATAAAATCATAAATAACATTTTATAATTTCAGCGCATCCGGTTTATACTTCTTCAACACCAACGCTGAGCCACCTTATAGTCGCGGAAGGAACAACAAAACAACTTCAATGATAATTTAAAAGAAAATGTTGAAAATACGGTCAATGGTATTTTAAAATAAATAATGTTGACAAAAACCAAATTTTTTTTTAGTTTTGACTTACAAACTCAGATTAAAACACAATGATTGGTACACAACAGAAAGAGGCTGAGTGTGAATGTGATTCGGTCTACCCCAGAAACAACTTCTTGCTTTCTGGCTATTTAGAAACTATTCATCCCTACAAAAAATAAACATACCTACATAAAATGTACGAGAATTTTATATAAAATAATAAATTTTTAGAATAGCAGCAATGAAAAGGCCACCGACTCAGTATTATACAGCGCTGTTATTCCTTCGGCTCCTTTTACAAGCTTACGTGCAGTCATAAGGCATAGTTCTACTACTACACATAAGTTAATAAATTTGATATTGCGATTATTTATAAAGAAGAAAGAAAGAAGGAAGCTTTATTCATCGCTTTAAAAATACACTAATACACACACATACTGCAGCACTTATTACAAGCTTATGAGCAGTCATCAGGCACAGATAGTATACTAATACATACAAGTCATATTAGTCAAAGCCAAAGGTCACAGACTGGGCATTATGCTGCAGCATTATTGCTGCAGCGCTGTTATTCCGTCGGTGTCGCTCACATGCATACGAACTGTCATCAAGATTAGTAATACTAATACCTACAAGTAATAATAAATTTGACATTACATAAATATAATGATAGATAACTTTTAAATGAAAATATAGTTTATAAAGTTTATCGAATTAAGTACTTACAACTTTCTTTCCCTTAGAAAATAGAGACTTAGAAGCTAGAGATTATCTAGGGTTATTATATAAAAGATTCGATACGCTGAGACTAAGCGTTTGGCTAGGGCCAAGTTTTGAATTAATGAATGATAATTTCAATGCAATGCAAGAATATTACCGCCTACAAGTATTTATTTATCTTGTCACAATATTGTAGTGTGAAGTTATTGTTATTTTTTAAAAATTGGGTATTTCTAATAGAAAATCCTTCTTGACAGCTCGGAGTCAGGAAGTTAGCGGTGTTACAACACCCCGTACCTTGGAAAGTACGTAAAACCAAGAAACCAGTATGGCTGTTGCACCGCAAAAGCAGATAATCGTTTGTAAGAATTGCTTCCAGAGTGGAACTATATACAAACACATCATTGATACTGCGGAAATGTTCACTCGTCTTCCTTAAAATGATAGTACAAATTTATATACTCGTAGACACGCCAGTTAGAAAGCTGAATGTTAATAAATGTACATTTTCTCATATTGAATAATAAGATCCTCATCATCTGCTTTTCCTAACAACACGATATGTTAGTACTAATATTAAACGCAGTGGTACTGGAGAAACCGACGTAGGCCTAACGGATAAGCAACCAGTAGTGAAAATGGGCCAGCCATATAGCTGAAAGAACCGGCAACCGATGAAGAAGAAAGTTAAAACCCGCCACTAGGTGCAGTAAGGATCTGTTAAGCAGGAATATATATAATAATAATTATATGCAATTATATTTATTATAATAATTATACGCAGGAAGTCGATGGATACAGAAGAGAACTTGTGAAAGTCTGTAGTGATATAATACATAAAATATTTTGAAGACCTCGTCTCGATAATCAAGTGTTACTAATCCAGTTAATTGCAATTCATATATATACATATATATATATATATATATATATATAACATATATATATATATATATATATATATATATATATATATATATATACACACATATATACATATATTATTGCCTTATGTTTTTACTAACACAGCAATTAATCGTAAAATATCTCATGAGTCATCATTAAGTCACTTACTTCCTTTACGGTCCACATGCAAAAATAAAAAAACCCAATATTTTTCGATCTGAAAGGAGTTTGTCAGCTTTTTACGTAATGTTAAGGCTTAACTTCTGTTTATTGTTTACTTTCAAACTATTAGTTTTACTATATTTTTTTAAAATCCGTTGCCTTTAAAATTATTATTTGTACCATTCTGAGTAAAATTTTATTATGTTGAAAACAAGATCCTTATGGAAATTTGATTAGGAGTATATTTTTAAATGTTTTGTAATCTATAAATCAAATATTACGCAGAAGCTGACTATTACATACTTTAAATCGAACTGCTCAAAATTTTGTAGAATATGAGAAATAGTCTACGATGGCCAAATTCAATGATTTATAAAACTCATAATGCTCTGTTTGTTAGCTGGTATTAAGTATAGAGATTACTAGCAGTCGGTAGTAAAGTCTATATTCGGTTTGGTTTGCTTATCGAAATATTCTGAAATACGAGACTTTCGCAAATGCCTTGCATAAGTAAAAAGCAATTGGACAAGTGATTATTAATAGATTATAGTAATATTTAAAGGAGAAATAGATGTTTAAGAGGAAATTTGCAGGGAATTGGGTTCTGGGGCAGTAGTGTACGTTAAGTAGTTTTAAGTATTTTTGTACTAATAGCATAATTCCGGGTGACAAAACATCTATCTCTTTAGCTCTTAAAAAGGGAACGGGGCTAGATTAGATCAAGAACTGGAAAACGTTTAGCTGGGTGCAAGTAATAATGTTAACTATAAAAATAACACGCTTGAACTCCGGTGTTGTATACTTTATACATACATAATTATATTTTACACACAAGACAAAGGAGAAACATCCAGATCCAAAACAATTTTTTAACCAAATATATAAATCAATTAAAAATTATCGAACTAAAACTAATTAAAATAATACATACCCAATTAGTAGTAATATTTACTTATATATATATATATATATATATATATATATATATATATATATATATATATATATATATATATATATATATATATATATATAAATATATATATAAACACTCACGCCTGTCACCCAGAGGGGTAGGCAGAGACTACGGACTTCCATTTAGCACGATCCTGACATACCTCTTTCGCCTCCTTTACATCCATATATCTACGCATACATGCTCGTCGGTTAAGGGTACTTCTAACGTGGCCCATTTTCAAAATATCGCCAATTTGGTCGATAAACTTTTTTCTAGGGCGTCCCTTCCCGACTCGGCCATTCACATCTGCCATATAAATTTGCTTTGTCACTCTTTCCTCATTCATTCTTTCTACATTACCAAACCACCGAAGCATTCCTTTCTTAATCCTGGTCACAACATCATCTTGCATACCACATTTATCTCTTATCACGCAATTTCTCATCCTGTCATTCAAATCCAATCCCAGTATATTCCTTAAAGACCGCATTTCTACAGCATTTATTCTACTTTCGTGCTTCTTCTGCCACACCCAGCTTTCACTACCATACATTAAAGTACGGACTAACACAGCATTATGAATTACCATACGTGCCTTTTTTGATACATTCTGGTTCTTCATATTAGAGTGTAGTGCCCCATTCACTCTATTCTCTGCATTTACTCGTCGTTCTATATCCCTATCATATCTACCATCCCTGCTAAATACACAATACACATCCCAAATACACAAACTCATCCACTTGCTCAATTAACTCTCCTTCTATTCTTATTTCATATACCGTTTTGCTTTATTCTCTTTCAAAAACCATTACTTTCGTCTTACTTGCATTCACTTTAATTCCCCTTTCTTTTAATTCCCAGTTTATTAATGCAACCATCATTTGCAACTCAGCTGCCTATGACGCAAATATGACTTGATCATCGGCATACAGAAGGCATTTGACGGTTAACTCGCCCGTTCTTAACCCACATTCTTCATCTTTCAAAGTTTGCAAACATCTGTCCATAAATAGGTTGAACAGCCAAGGGGAAGCTAAACAGCCCTGTCTGACACCCTTTTGGATGCCAAACCAGTCCGAGTAGACCCCATTGATCCTGACACAAGCACTAGAGTTCCTATAAAGAGACCTTAATGCCTGTACCAAACCAGCGCTCAACCCATATGAGTGCAGTGTTTGCCATAACACATTCCTGTCCACTTTGTCATAAGCCTTTTCCAAGTCCATGAACGCACAAAATCTTTCTGGTTTTTGGCCAAAAACTTCTCCGCAATCATGCGCATGGAAAAGACTTGATCTGTACATCCCATTCCCTCTCTAAAACCCGCTTGCACATCCCAAATTTTTCCATCAGTTTCTTTCATAACTCTTTCAATTAACACCTTAGCATACAGTTTACCCACAATACTAAGCAAGCTGATACCACGGTAGTTTTTGCAGTCCTGCTGTGACCCTTTTCCTTTATATATTGGTACTGTAACTGCTTCACACCAGTCATCCGGTACCCGTTTTAATTCCCAACATAAATTAAACAAGGTGTACAGCAGGCCTGCCACCACTCCTTCTCCAGCCCTTAGCATCTCCAGTGATACTCTATCATATCCAGCTGCCTTACCTGCTTTCATGCTTTTCATTGCTTTCATTATTTCATCTACACTTATTTTCATACCCCTTTCCACTACTTTCGGAATTTCTAGTTCATTTAATTCAGACGACTCTTCACTCATATACACGCTTTCAAAGTATTCCTTCCATCTGTTTAAATTTGAAACTTCATCATTCAGAATACATCCATTCTCGTCTCTTATAGCATTAATTATAGGCTGTTTTGTATTTCCCCTGGCAGTTCTTACGAGTTTCCAGAACATTTTTATGTTAGCCTGGAAATTACAGATATCCTTCTATCATTCTTATCCGTTCTTTCTTTCTTTTTCCTTTCAACAACTTCTTTTACTCTCTTATTTAGACGTCTAAATTCTGCCTTTTTTCTTTCAATCTCATCATTCATACCAGAAGAATTACCAGCTTTGGTTGCTAGTGAATCTAACCATGCTTTCTTCTTTGATTCAACTTCCACCTGTACCTCATCATCCCACCACAATGTATTATTTTTCCTTTCATTTGTTCTCAACACCACATACTTCGGTGGCGGCATCCACCTAACCTTTCTTAATATTATCCCACACAGTATTCAAGTCTAAATCATTCAAACACAAC